TGTGTGTGTGTGTGTGTGTGTGTGTGACGTCGTCCCTTGCTTGAGCCCCTCCTTGCCCCTCACTCCAGGTAAGCGGGTGAGCCACAGTCCTGGGGAGGAGTGATCTTTTCCACACTTTTCTCCCTGGCAGTCACTGGTGAACATGCAGAACTAGATGTAACAAGATTCCCCGGACAGGAAAACCATCAGCTCAGGTTGTGGCCCTTCATAATAATCTGCTTGCCGTTGGCCTCTGTTGCCACTCAGTGCTGAGGCAGCCTGAATGGGGCAACATAAAGGAGATTCTGGCTGGATCAGTCACTGTGAGGTGAGCCGGGAAATGCCAGCGTTGCTTCCTCTGCCATGGCCTGGAGAACAGTGGAGCCAACAGCAGAGCCCACCTTTGCTTCTGAGCTCTGTCCTGAGAGAAGGCAGCTCCTGGGCCCCTTGCTCCAGACCCTGCCATGTGCCTCCCCAAGTGAGGCTTTCTCCATGGGCTGCAGTTCCTTGTACAGATGCCCAGTCCACAAATTGGTCAGAGGACTTGCTGTCTTGAGATGTTTGTTGGGCAAAGGGATGGCACCGCTGCATCAGAAGGAGAGGAAGAGCAGGGAAGGCTGGCCTGCCATGTGCTCCCGAGTGGCACCAAGGCTCTGTCTTGACTCCCTGTAGAGAGAGAGCGACTTCCAGTTTCAGTGGGAAGGCCCATTAGCAGGAAGAGGGTTCCCTCTGCTTTTCCTGTGAGTGAAACTGCAACCCTGGAAGAATTGGTAGATGTATCAGCTCGTGACTCAGGGGAGTCACATCCGCCTCATGAGTAGAAATGCATATGGATAGTTGTTCCTTGCCACACAATCTTTCATGGAGGGTTTTGACGTAAGGAAGCTCTTCTTAGTCACTGCCATGACGGTCACTGGGGCAAATGGCCGGATCCTGGAAGCCAGCAGGCCCCATCACAGCTCCCCTGCCTGCTTGGTCCCAGCACTGGCTGAGAGAGCAAGGGACAAATGCTCAGGAAGAGCCAGCTCTGGAGGTTCCAGCCAGGCTGTTTCATGTGTGGCAGCAAAATAAGTTGGTGTGTGAATATGCATCAGTTGTTTAAGAAGCCTATTAACATAAGAAGCTTTGAGCCTCTCCTGCATGTGGGTTGCCCAAGAATACTGGAGAGAGGGTGGGAGGGAAAGGGACCCTTTCCGAGGTGCCTTTGGAGGGTCTCCTTCCTTGAGTGCTTTGTTGCCACAGGCCTGTCATCAGTCCTGTGCTGGGATGGGCGTATTGGAGGGAGGAGGTGGTGCGTTCCTGCTTTTGTCAGAAATGGCCTTGACTTCTCTGGTAACAAGTTCAGGGAAGAGCTGACCTGCACACAGGCAGCTGCAGCCATCCGCCACCTCCCACCCAGCAGAACTGCAGCTGGCAAAGTGTCTGACATGCAGGGAGTGCGGGATGCAGCAAGGAATTAGCGTTAAGGAAGGAGTGCAGCTTAATGAGGTTGCACCACCGAGCTGTTCCTCAGTGGGAAATGCTGGCTTCATGGCTGCATGAGTTAAGAGATGCCCTAGTTGTAGAGAGGCCCGTGTACCTGCCCCAGAGGGCTGGCCACTTGAGTGCCGAGGCCTTCCTAGAAAGACTAGGGGAAAGGTTACTGGTGACTGTTTCAGGCCCCTTTCTTCTGACCTGGAAATGACTCCCTGCTGCATGCACCCTTTCTGTCATCAGCCTTCCTGGAGTGAAGAGCCACCCAGAGTCACTCCTGCCTGCCCCTCCCATGGCAGGCGCACTCTGTCAGGGAAGGTTGCAGCACTGTTGGTGTGGCTTGTGAGCCTCGCCCACCTTTGGACAAAAAGGAGGAGTCTCCAGTGTGCTGCATATAAGGTGCTTCCAAGCCCCTTGAGAGACTCATCCTATCCCTGGGAGCTTCTCTAGAGGACCCAAAGAGCAGCAGAACAAGAGAGAGCATGGCTGGTGAGTACAAGCTGCCCTGGGCAAGGCCCCAGTATGGGCTGCCTGCAGGGCTGGGCAGGTGCGAATAAGGAAGGCTTGGCCAGCATTTCATGGACCTGTTGGGCATGCCAGCAAATCAAGGCTTTGCCTTTGCCTTTGCCCTCTCCTCTACCCCTCCACAGCACCAGCTAATAGAATACAAGCCAGCTGGGTTCTCCTGCCTCTTCCTCTGCAGGGGAGCCTTTGCATCTCTCTGGTGGGCTGGCCTTCCTCTAGCCATGCACCCCACCTTGCTCGGACGGACCCAGCACACCTGCCCCCCTGCCCGGAGGGGCTAGGCACAGCCCTGCCCATTTCCCCCAGCCCTGTTGCTGCTTGGAGCACAGCCTGGAGGGGCTGGTGAGGGTGGTCTGCTTTCTAGAGTGGATAAAGACCTGTAGGGCTCATCCTGGGCCGGCAGCAAAGCAGAGCCAGCTCATCAAGGACATGGATGGAAAAGGGGACCACCCTGAGCAGGGCAGGGCTGGAGCAGAGAGGCTGATCGCCTGACGGGGGAAAGTTAACCTCTATCCTGACCCCAATGAATATGCATATACCACTACATCACAAAAAGAACCCGTGCTTACAACATCTATATGCAGTTAAAAGCACATGGAAATCTAAACACAGGAATCCTCCACTAACTACAGTATTATGGTGTCTGTTCCAACCTTTGGAACTCCTCTCTAGTGATCGCTCGGTCCGTAGAGTATGAGGCTCTTACTCTCAGGGTCATGGGTTCAGCCCCACCTTGGGCAACAGATTCCTGCAATGCAGAGGGTAGACTAGATGACCCTGGGGTGCCTTCCAACTCTACGGTTCTATGAGACTTTGAAAGGTGGTGTCTTAATTGTCTGCATGAGCTGGGCAGCGCGGAAAAATTTTCAGCAGGCGTCCATTGGACTTCCAGTGACAGCGCGTTCCGCAAGGCGGGCCGGCTCTCTCCGAGGAGCCTCGCCAGCTCGGGGGACCAACGAGGCTCCGGCAGTTCCGTTATGGGGCGTCCGCCGCCAAACAGCAGCTTCCCAAAGGCAAATCTTTAGTCCCCGGCTGCCTCCTGGGCTGGGACCTGGGGCTGCCCTCTCCCCACCGGGACACGCTCCGCGCGCTGTCCGCCCCGTTTGAAGAGCCGTAATTACAGCGAGAGGCGGGGGCAGGGCAAGCCGGCGCTTGCGGAACGCGGCTGGGCTCTGGGCTTCGGGGGGGGGGGCAGCTTCCTCGGTCCGCAGCCCAGCCCAAGCGCTCCGCACCCCGGGCCAAGGAGCGGCGGGACCTGGAGTCTTCCCAGGGCGATGCAGGACGCGCGAGGGACGGTTGCGCAGAGAGAGAGCGCGCAGGCTTGGCCGCATCCAGAATGTGGCCGGGCTGCCATGGCGAGAGTCTGGGCGAGTGCCCCCCCCCTCCTTCCCCGATGAACTGCTTGCCCGCCCGGTCCCGTCCCAGGCGCTAAGAGAGCAAGTGCTGAGCCCTCAGATTCGTGAGCGGTTTTTGCTTAGTCACAATCCATCCCTTGACTAAATACTTTGGCACCGGAGACGACGGTTTCTGTTCTGTATACGCAACCCAACACGCGTGAATCCGCAGAAAGCGACCGAGCTCAGCTGGCGCCAGGCCGGGACAGGCGGGCTGGTGCCCTTGCGCTGCCCTGCTCCGCAGCGGCTGCTCTTGCCGAAGTGCCGCAGCGCCACGTGGAGGGTCTGCCCTGCCCACAACTCCGCAGCTGCCACAGATCTCCTCCTCCTCCTCCTCCTCCTCCTCTCGCACGGGAGATCTACAGGATTTGCATTGGTGTCAAATGCGATGAAGTCGAGCATCAAGAGCTCCGTTTCACGCGCGTTTCTCCAGCCGGTCTGAGGGAAAGGGGCGCTAGGAAAGGCGGTCCCTTGGCTCTTGGTCTTCAGGGAAAGGAGCGCCCTGTGACTGAAGGGTGCCTTCTGGGTCGCTGCGAGGGCATGACCTGTTTCGGAAAGGCGCAGGCGAGCCTCTCTGCCTCAACCTTCGTGGTCTTGTCCCCGTTTTTGCAGCTGTGCCGAAGATTGACTGGAAGCGGAAAGCCAATGGCAGCGCGCACCACACCGAGCAGTACCCCGGCACCGAGCTGGTGGTGCGACGGGCACAACTTTTCTATATCTCTCTGGCCTTCGGCGGAGCAGCGCCAGCTCCAGGCAGCCTCACGTTCACCGTCGAAACAGGTAAGCCGCCACCGAAATGCAGAGTCCAGCTGGGTGACTCCTTGGCTCTCCATGTCGAGGGGGCCACTTGGCGTAAAGGCCCCCACCCCGGAGGGCGGGCTGCCCAAGATGTGACCTCCACTATGCCCAAAGCTCACCGCCTTCCTCCTGCTGCCAGGATCGACCTCTGCCCTGCACGAGAAGACCCGCGTGGCTTTTGGCATCTCCAGCGCCGCACCCAGCGGCGGCTCCTGGGGCGCCGTCCAGGACTCTCCGGCGGCTTCGGGCCCCTGAACATCGCCATTTCCAGCCCTGCGAGTGCCGCCATCGGGCGCTACCGGCTGGGGATCGAAACGAACGCCGGCGCCTCCCACCTCGGCACCTTCGTGCTGCTCTTTAACCCCTGGGCGACAGGTATTTAGTTATTTATTAAATCTGTATGCCGCCCTTCATCCGTAGATCTCAAGGTGGTTCACAACATAAAAATATAAGAAACACGAAATACTTAATAAAAACAAGAGCGAAAACAAATCCAAAACACACGGCCCCCCAGCGACTGATGCCCCTGAACCCACCGCACCGCCCCCCCCGACGACTGCCCCCCTCGGCCCCCGGCCTTTTCTTGTGGGGACCCGAGACTCCTCCTCCTTCTCCTCCTGGCTAGGTGCTTCCAGCTGCACGAAGCGGCCTCGGGGTGGCGCCGGGGGGCTTCCTGCCCCCAAGGCGCACAGGGACAGGACGGGCCACCTGCAGCTACGGGGAGGAGGGCTGGGGGCGTCCCAAGGAGGTATTGGGGATTCCTAGTTCTTCCTCACCCAAATGGCCCCTCAGCACCGGCCGGTTCTTTCGCTCGCAGGAGACGACGTCTTCATGGGCAACGACGCGGAGCGCAAGGAATACGTCCTCTCCGAGTTCGGCGTCGTCTTCCGGGGCAGCGTGAACCACATCTCCAGCTTCGGGTGGAACTTTGGCCAGGTAGGGGGAAGCCTTTGGGCGGGGGCTGGAGACCGGGGTGGGGAGGGGTTAGGAGAGACGCTACCGGCCCCGTCCAGAAATGCCCAGAGCAACTGGAGCTCAGCTACGCGCACACGCGCGCCCTCCAAATCCCGTCCCCCCCCCCACTTTCTCAAAAGAAGAGAGAGAAAATGGGTCCTGGATGTGAAACCAAAGGACCTTTCCAGCTCCTCCTCAATTCCAGGTGTGTCTCCTCCCCCGCGACCAGAGCGCACTTCCTAGGCTGGCTGGACGGTCCCTGGGGGTCTTCGGGTTGCCATATTTTGAAGAGCAAAAAACAGGACACATTTGTCGACTTCTGCTTTTAGCTATGGATCAGTGGCCTAGCGTGGGGGGTGCAGGGGGGGGCCGGCCGCACCGGGCGCAACATCTGGGGGTTAGGGGGCGCAAATTACTTGCCTTGCCCCGGGTGCTCACAACCCACGCTACGCCACTGCTATGGATCACCATGATAGGGCTGCCATACGTCTCGGTTTTCCCCCAGACACGTCCGTGAATCGGGCTGTCAAAACGGTGTCTGGGAGGATTTTTCGCCAACTCCGGAAGTATGGCAACTTAGGGCACTTTTTGAGGAAAATGCTGTAAAAATCCCCCAAAAGACCCAAAACTTAGTTTTTTGGGGGGGGAGATGATGGCTCTACCCATGAAAAAGAGGACATATGGCAATCCCGGGAAGGGGGGAGAGGGAGAAGGAGGAGCCCCTGGCCTGGGTCGTCTTAACAAGCTGAACATTCTCTGGGACAGTCTGGGTTACTCCCAAGCCTCTTCCCAAGGGAGGGAGAGGGGCAGGAAACCTTCGGAGCCACTGTGGGCCCCTCTCGCCCACCCAGGCCTTGTGAGAGATTAGCAGCCAAACCTCACAAGCACATATTTATATTTATTATTTATTTTATTAAGTTTGTATGTCAGCCTTCTTCCAAAGATCACAGTTCACAACATAAAAATACAGAAAAATACAAAATGAAAACACAAAATAAATAAGAAAAGCAAAAGCAAAACAAGCCAGTAATTCCCCCAACACATGAGAAGGCGCTAAATCCACAGAACTGTATTGATGAGAGGCTGACTCAGACCATAGAAATGCAATTGGTAGAGAGGGCTCTGTGTGATATCATTTCCCCTCCTCTCCTGCAGAGGAAGGAACAAATAGTACCTGCTCTCTTCCTTCAACCAGTTCATAGTTGGAGTCGCTCAAAATGCAGGGGAAGCTCCAGGTTATGTGTGTAGCACTGGGTGATGCTGCCACAGGATGAAGAACCATTTCATTTGTCTTCCTCTCTGTGTTCAGTTTCAAGAGGGCATTTTGGACATCTGCCTTGACATCCTAGACCGGAGCTTGAGCTACCGCAAGGACCCAACTGCTGACGTGCGCAGACGAAATGACCCCAAATACGTTGGGCGGGTGCTCAGCGCCATGGTAAGGAAAGCCCAGCACGAGCCAGCCTCCCACCCACCCCATGGATAGGAGCGAGCGTCCCTGAGAGGAGCCACGAGGGGGCTCTCACCTGCCTGCCTACAATTTTATGATTCTATTAACTTTGCAAAAGGATGTGGAGGTGGGATCATGGGTGGAAAGGGGAAGGCAGGCAGGCAGCCCGCTACTCCCTTCCTGCTGCTCCCTGGTCCAATCCAGCCTGTGCAAAAAAGGGGGAGCAGCTCATTGGCCTCTCTCGATTCCCCCCTCCCCCGCTGCAGGTCAACAGCAATGACGACAGAGGAGTCCTGCAAGGAAACTGGAGTGGGAATTACAGTGGTGGGGAGAGTCCAAGCAGCTGGAATGGAAGTGTGGACATCCTGAGAAAATGGAAGGACTCGGGATTTAGACCTGTCCTGTATGGGCAGTGCTGGGTCTTTGCTGGAGTGCTGACTACAGGTAGGTCTGCCTGAAATACTGGCATGCACCACCAAGCCGCTGGGGTGAGGAATTAGCTCAAGCACCAGCTGTGGGTTTTCATGGCAGGCTCTGCTGCCTCTGGTCAGCAGCCAAACCACAGGTGACAGGCATGCAGCAAGCATTTCGTCTGGGCAAAACGGATGGCTGAGTGCAATGGGTGCCAATGCCTTTTGCTGCAAGCAGCTTCTCTGCTGCTGCTGCCCCCACCACCCCCAGAACATTAGAGTCCCCAGGGAACCATTGCTGGATGGATTTTGTGGGAAGGATAGGATATACGATTTCCCCCTTTCTCCCTCTTAATAAAAGAATCACATGTAAAATAGTACTTACATAAAGTCTTGCACTTGATTCCAGCAGTTACAAACAGGCAAATTCTGCTTCTAGATTACAATGCATAGTTGAGGTCAAAAATGGAATCTCCACTGGGGGAGAGACCAGACAGACATCCATCTGCCTCAGAAGCATGGCAGAAAAGATAATGAGTTCTGAAGCAGGAGGAAGTAGAAAAAATTAAATCCCTTTGTCTTTTTCCTGCTAGAGAACTCAAGGGAAGTGCTGTCAAACAGAGCTCTGTGTCTGCAAATTACATTGCTTTTCTTTGCAATCTGTCTAACCAGAAATTTGCAGCACTGTGGTTGTTAGTCTCTAGAGTTAAGGGTAAAGGTAAAGGGACCCCTGACCATTAGGTCCAGTCACGGACGACTCTGGGGTTGCAGCGCTCATCTCGCTTTATTGGCCAAGGGAGCCGGTGTACAGCTTCCGGGTCATGTGGCCAGCATGACTAAGTCGCTTCACTGTGACCTTCAGATCAGCAAGCCCTAGGCTCTGTGGTTTAACCCACAGCGCCACCCGCGTCCCTAGTCTCTAGAGTTACTCAACCTCAATAATGCATTGTTATTTTGACAACAAACCTCCACAGCCAAGGGGTCACAGAAAATTCTCTAGAATATTCCAAGGGGATATTCTAAGGATATTCCAAGGGGGTCACAGGTGAAAATCACATAAATGGGGGGGCATAGCACGAGGCTAGGGGGCCACAGAGGGAAGTGAGAAGGGAAGAAAAATAGGCACATATAGAATCCTGATTAGCTAGCTATCTGCTTGGTCAATGGCAAGTGGGTAAGGGGGAGGCCCACCAGGGCCTAGCACTCCTTTTTGCCACATGTGTTTTCTTGGAGCAGTCCTGGGATGTTTCTGATAGGAGAGGGCGATTGCTGATGCTCCTATTTTGACCAGTAGAGCTACCGATCCAGAACCCCCAGGTCAGGTGGGGTGGCAATGGGTAGGGCTGGGCGAACCAGAGCTGCTTGTAGCTGCCACCAGTGCTGGGCCCAGTGGCAGCCTGGGCCTGACTCTGCAAGGCACAGGGTCCAATCCACCCAGCACTGGATCAGGTAGATCAGGGTCTTCAGATGTTGCCAAGGGGCACAAGGCCTGTTGGCAGCGTCTGCTCAGCTTTGCAAGGCGCAGGGCCTAGCTGAACGGGGTCATTTGGTGCAGCTGACTTGCATCTAGTAAAGAACGATCTACTCAGAAGAAAGCTGCACTGAGTTCAGTGGGCCTTACTCTCAGGTAAGGGGGGGGCGCTATAGTGTTTTATATAGGCAGCCAGGGCTCCTCCGGATGACAATATCTTTTTGCACCCAGTCAGTGAGGACCACTTGCTTTTTAAATTTCTCCCATACATGCAGAACTCCCTGTGTGCCTTTTGGACTATATCTGTTGGTATCCCCCTCTGTGTCAAATAACTGAGGTCAAACAAGTGTTTACTTTTTATAAGGAGGTTCTGGACTCTCCTTCCTTGGAGGTTTCTAAGCAGAGGTTGGATGGCCATCTGTCAGGGATGCTTGAGCTGAGATTCCTGCATTGCAGGGGGTTGCACAAGAAAGATCCCTTGGGGTCCCTTCCAGCTCCATGATTCCATGCTTTTCTGCTTCAACATTTCATTCTGTCCCTATCATTTGATGTAATTGCGGCAAGTGAAATGTCCAGTCCAGGGGTCACCATCCCACACAGGCCTAGGAGCGGGACAGAAGGATGTGCTGCACCAGTAAATCCGGAAGTAAGGAGAAGGAGCCATAGCTGGATCCAGAGAGCCCTTTGCTCCACGGCTCCCCTTCTTCCTCATGGCTCAGAGCGACCTGCACTTGTGCTTCTGGTCTGAGCTTTGATTCAGACTTGTGGCCCTTTCTGCCTGGGATCCTGGGCATGGAACTAGGCTGGGTATGTTTGTGTGTGTTGTGACTGGGGAGAAAAGCGTCACCCTCTCTGGATCTGCAAACTCCCCTGGTGGGGCTCTTTCCGGGCTGGTGGTCTCGGTAGTCTGATACGCTCTGTTGGGTCCCCCTGGCATTTTCAGATGTGTGAGGAGGCAGAAAAAGTGCTGGCCCTGACAAAGAGGACAATGGGGCATGGGGCAGCCATCTATCTAGTGATGAAGTTTCAACTTTGCACCTGCCTCTCGCACCCAGCACCTTAGACCGTCCTCGTCACAGGAGACTCCTGAGTGGGAATGGCAGCCACTGCTCTACTTCCTTCCAGTGACCGCTCCCCTTTCCATGCTTACTCTTGCGCCAGCCCACAGGGTCAATGGCAACATCTCCCAAGGAGTGCTCACAGGCCACAGAGCCAAGAGCACCTGCCTGAGAAGTTGATGTTTCAACCAAGAGTATTCTGCAGCCATTGCCTCTGCCCCTGAGGAACAGCCTCACAAAGTTCATATTTTCTCTCTCATTCCCTCTCAGTCCTCCGATGCCTGGGAATTGCAGCACGCATGATCTCCAATTTCAATTCTGCCCACGACACCGACGGAAGCCTGACTGTGGATAAGTACCTTGACAGCTTTGGGAACCCTCTGAACATTGGCTCCGACAGTGTCTGGTAACTCAGCCTGACTCTTCCCCCCACCTCACCAGCATCAGTTGCATTTCTGCACAGAGAGGCAGGGCCCTGGGTGGGTGGGTGAAAGGGATCTCTTGGTCCTTTCCTTGGCTCCCTTGGCAGGAGGAAGTTGCCGTGGTGGAAGCCACAATCTGCCCTCATCTCACTGCAAACCTTCACATCAGGCTTGTTTATTCTCTGGCCCAGGAACTTCCATGTCTGGAATGAAGGTTGGTTTGTCCGGCCGGACATTGGCTCCCAGTTCAATGGGTGGCAAATTCTGGATGCAACTCCCCAGGAGAGGAGCACAGGTGAGAACTGGGGGGGGGGGCTGATTTGTGCTTTGCCTTCTTGCCACACTGTTCCCCATGGCAGAAATGTCCAGGTTTGGTGAGGGGCTAAGTGGCGGGCAGCAGAATCAAAGAACTGTAGTGTTGGAAGCGACCCCAAGGCTCTGTGTTGTTCCAGTTCAATTCACTATTTGGGACCAATTCTGATCTGCTAAATCCCAAGCTCTGTCCCCTACCCCTTGACTATATAATGGGAAATCTAAAATCAGCAATAATTCCCCACCTGCATTTTTGCAGAGGTGGATGACATTTGCAGGCAAAGGATCTCCTCCAGAGCCTGCCAAGCTCCATGTGGATTCGTCCAGGGGGGTTTCATCCAAGGGACCTGTGGGAATGTTCAGGGTGGCAGGAGAGGATATATTTTGTATTAATAATCTTCCTAACATGCGCTAGCAAGTTCCTTATGTAGCAGAGTTACGTTCCCCTTCTCATGCACAGCAGAAACTGGTTGCAGGCTCATTAGAACCTCTTACTATTATGCAATTCAATCTGCCTCAGAGTGAATTGTATGTTCCTGGTAAGATCCCCTTTTAAATCCCTCTTAAAAGAATAAAGACACCACAATCCTCTTCATAGTCAACAAAAAGTAAGTTTACTCACTTTCAGGCAGTGCACAGTATCAGTCCTGAAGGCTTAAAGACTTAAAGTTACAAATAGCAACATGTGGATTTACCCCATATCCCTGTGCTGCTGTTGGCTGAAAGCCAACAGAGCAGTCCTAGCTGGAAGCAGACAAAAGGAGAAAGGAAAAAAGGGAGGGAGTGCTCTATGACTCGTCCTTTTGTTACCTGGACAGGTGAGGTCATGCCCACCTCTGGTCACATGCAAGAGGAAGGATGCTCCAGGCCAGGAGGAACAGGAAGTTTCAACTGGCTGGACCAAACATTCCCTTGCATGTCCACTCTAGCATTACAAGGAATGTTGTACATCCCACAAGACCTTTAAGGGCTATTTTTCTCATGGGAGCAAAAGAAGGTTGCTTGTTTATTTTGTGGCAGAATTGGAATAAGAGGCATCCCCTCCTGAGAGGAGGATGTCTCTGTGAAGGGCAGTGGCCCCTCCTCAGGGGCTGCCGTTGGCATTTGGGGCAGGTGGGGAGAAGCCCCCTTCCTCTCCCAGTCTTATGCGGGCAACTGGGAACCTGAGACTGGGAGCCGCCCTTGGCTAAGAAACCTGCCAAAGTTCAGACAAAGAGGTCCAGGGGCTCTCGTTTTAGGGAAGCTTGCCTTTGTTGTCTAAAAAGGGGGGGGGAGTCACAATTTTTCTTCCCCCAGTGTTTCTGGAAGAGTCAATGCTATAGGAACAGTGATTCTCAAGGTTTCCCACCAGCTATTCTCTTTTTAAATATAATTTTGTATCATTCACTATTAAATGTTGATAGTTTTGTTTTATATGTACCGATTTTAGGGAGCCTGGCAAAGGGGCGAACAAAACCTTTTGCTGCAATGTCATCCTGGTGGGGGATTTGTGGGAGCAGTCAATGACAGAAGGAAAATGAATGAAAAATGGAATTAATTTTTAAAGAAATTTAAGCAGGGGGACCTTTTGCCCATCATATTATGAAACCTGCTGGAGTGCCGTGTACAATAATATGTATTTTTTGAAAGGAAAGATTTTGTGGAGGGCAGAACACCAAGGTGGATTGTAGGGACCAACCAGCAGCAACATTTGGAATTTGCACCAGCTGCCATTCTGCTATCGGGCCAAGTTCAAGGCCTTGGTACTTACACATATGGTCCCTATACAGCTTGGGACCAGGTTCCTTGCAAGAGAGACCATCTTATCCCTTTGCTGCCCACAGGGCCGGATTTAGGTTTGATGAGGCCCTAAGTTCCAGAAGGGAATGGGGCCCTTTATATGCCCAGCTGTCCTTTGTCAACAACAAATTGTCCATTCACATCAAAATAATTTTGAATTACCAATATACATAAAATTGATTAGTTTTAATAGGTCCATACACAACACAAAACACTGTTGCTGTATGTAGGTTTTATTTTATTTGTTTTTTATCTTATATTTTGGAAATGTACATCCAGGTTGTTTTTTTCCTTTATTTTTTTTTTCGGGGGCCCAAGCTATGTAAATCTGGCACTGGCTGCCCAGTAGGTGGCTGCAGCTGGCAGGAGGTTTCTCCTGCAAGTTAAAAAAACTCTCCCCTGCCTCTCTCTCTGCCCCTTCTCTCACTCCCAAACTCACAATGCCTACGACGACAATGGCTCTCACCAAAAGCAGCTGACCTGTCAAGAAGAGGGCTTTGAGTGTGGCTGCCCTTCTTCTGTGGAGCAGCATCCCTGTTGAGATATGACAGGCAGCCATGATCTGCACTTTCTGGAAGCAGCTGAAGACATTTTTGTTCTGACGGGCTTTCCCAGCTGACTTAGTGGGTCTTTGCTATGAAAGTTTATTTTGTATGCTTTTCATTTTGTTTTAAATGTATCTGCTAGCTGGGGTTTTGTTTGCCCCCTCCCAAACTGTTTTCTTGCATGTGACCTTGAGGCGCAGAATGCCCACTGGTTCTCCCTCCCTTTCCTTCCTGCAGGCATCTTCCAGTGCGGTCCAGCTTCGCTGACGGCCATCAAGGAAGGAGACGTCGACCTGAACTACGATTGCCCGTTCGTCTATGCAGAGGTCAATGCCGACCGCGTCACCTGGACGTATGACACGAACACGGGAAAGAAAACAAAGGTCTACTCTAAGACCAAGAAGATTGGCCAGAACATAAGCACCAAGGCCGTGGGCAGCAATGCCCGCCAGGATGTCACCAACAATTATAAATACCCAGAAGGTAAGGCATGCAAATTGAGACAGAAACTGGAAATGTTGAGGGATCTGGATTATTGCCAAGGAAATGAGCACTTACCCAAGTTGTGAGGACAAGACTGGCCCATCAGGAGAGCAAAGCAGAGGGAGGCTCACATGGGTGGAGCCAGTATTTTTGTTGGGGGCAGAACCTCAGTTAAATATTTTTATGGATTTACTTGATGGAGGGGAGATGCTCCCTGCTGCCCCTTGGCTACACCCATGGAGGCTCAGGTGTTTCTCAGAGCATTTCCCAGAAGCTACTTTGGGCGCCCTGTCAGCAGATTGGCCAGGGCAGGGAGGGCGGAACATGGGTGGTATTGCCCACCAATGAGTGGGAGGGAGGACAGGCAAAGATTTTCAGTCCATGCGCCACACCCAAGCTAGGCCTGAGCAAAGAGCCCCATGGTCTGCCTGCCAGCCCTCAGGACCCCAGCTCTTCTGTGCCACCAGGCCTTGCACTGCTAGGATGGCTGCGAGGCTGAGGCCCCAAGAGCCCCTGGCCTGGGGAAGGAGAGGGAAGGTGCCCTTCATGCAACTGCTGGTCCCTATGGCTCCTGCACTGGGGCCTAACAGCCCCGCTGGGCTTTGCCACCTGCTGTTTCTCTTCCAGGCTCAGAGAAGGAAAGAGCCGTCTTCAAAAAGGCCAGTGAGAAGCTGAACCTGAACACGTTCAATGCCATATCTGCCAAGGGTCCGGAAGCTGTGAACCCAAACCTCTCAGGGACTCTGAAGTCCAAGAGCCCTGAGCCAAAGGTTGGTCAGGATGTTGACTTGGTCTTCACCCTGAAGAACCTTGCCTCCAAGGCCAGGAGCCTGACGGCCAAGATGACCGCCTGGTCCATCGTCTACAATGGGAAGCCCATCCATGAAGTCTGGAAGGACTCTCTCGCAGTGACTCTGGGCCCGCAAGAAGGTAAGCCTTTTGTGGGCTCCCCACAGCAAGGGGGCAGCCTCCAATGCCCCCTCTTCCTCCTCCTTTGCCCACAAGCCACAGTCGGGCCTTCTGGAGAAGCCCCACTCGGGTGGGGGTGGTGGCAGAGGCACCTCTCATAGGTCTCCCTCTTGGCTTGCTGGGGTGGGGGATGGCGAGTTCCAGCGACCTCCTCAGATCTTGGGGTGCAAGGAACTTCCACTGCTGGTGTGTGCTGACCTCTGTGCTTGGCCTGCCCCTTTTTCCACTTGCTCTACCCCAAGAGATGGGGGGCTCCTCTTTTTGCACCCATGGGCAATGTTGGGGGGCAAGGGACACGGAAGAGGGGGATCATTGCTCCCCATATCTGCCCCCAGCTAGCCAAGTTCCTGCCTTGGCAGCCCCTGACTGTTCTCCACCAAGGGCTATGGGACTCACCTTCCCCTGAAGAAAGGGCAACGTTTTGGGGTTCTTCCTGGCATCCGAGGGGGATTTTGAGCACCGCAAGAGCTTCCTCTGCACCGGCCGCTGAGCCACAAGGTGTTGCAACTATGATGCAGTGCATGTGCATGAGGCCGGGTGCCAAATTAGGTCTCCCATGGGTGCTGCTGAACTATGGAAGACCAAAGTCTGCCCCTGCCGGCTTGCGTGACCCACATCTCATGGAAGGCCCTTTGGTTACTTGTCACTTTCAGAGAAAAAGTTTCCTCTCAAGATCTCATACGCTGAGTACCAGCAACACCTGACGCCAGACAACATGATTCGAGCCACAGCCTTGTGCCAACTCTCAGAGGGAACCGAAGCCGTGGTGGAAGGAGACATCACGCTGAGCAACCCCTCCGTCACCTTGAAAGTAAGCCTTCCTCAGCTGCCTCTGTGCCCAGGAGAGGCTCCTGAGTGCCTCCCTGCCTTGATGCCCACAGAACTGCCTCTCAAGTTTCTCTCTCTGCTTGCTGGGCAGTGCATGGCCCTCCCAGGCATGCCTTTGGAGGCCTGTGCCCTCCTGGCTTTGCCCCCTGGGAGGCCTGGGGAGTGGCCCTCCTACTCAATGGGGGCTTTTCTCTGGGCAGGTGCTGGGACAGGCGAAAGTGGACCAGCCGCTGAAGGTGGAGGTGGTCTTCACCAACCCTCTCAATGAAGAAGTGAAGGACTGTGTGCTGCAGGCAGAGGGCAGTGACTTGCTGGCAGAGAAGCTCAAGCTGGAGTAAGTGCCTGGGACATCCAGACAGGGGGGGTGCCGTGTCCCCTCCCCAGGACTGGGGGTGGCTGCTGGGGTGCTCCCTTGTGGTGCTCCCACCTCCCAGTTCCTCAGCTGCACTTCCAGAGCAGGCAAAGTCGGGGCTCCAGTCTCCCGGGTGGGGGGTCTGGAAAGGGGTGCCCAGAAGGGACTCCTGTGTCTTCCTGGCCATGTGGGGCTTCCTTTGCTCACTACCCAAAAGAGTCACAGCCCACTTTTCTATCACCTTCCAAGGCAACTTTTCTATGTGTACCAGGAATTGTCAGTGACAGAGGCTGGGGCCCCTTTTGCTTCAGAGGTGTCTTTTAATAGTTGAGAAATTGCTTCAGGGAATCGTGAGTGAGTGTGTGTGTGTGTGTGTGTGTGTGAGAGAGAGAGAGAGAGAGATTGAGAGCTGTGCACAGGCAGCCTCTGCTGCAGACATGAGTTTCAGCCACCCTTTAGAAATGTTTGCCCCCAACACCCCACTGCTCAAACTGCTCATTTGTAACCCCCCCGGCTTGCCAACCACCCCAGGCAGTGCTTAGCACTGGTGCTGTCACTCACCCCACCTGGTGGCAGCTGTGTGGGGCTGGGGCTGGGTGTCCCCACTGCCTTTCAACACTCCAGCCAGGAACTGGCAAAGGCAGAGCTGGGCTGCTGTTTCTTTGGCACATCCAAAGTCAGGAGGAGGCTGGGCAGCCAATGGGGACAAACTACTCTGAGGAAGAAAAGTGATCTTAGAAGAAAGACTTCAAGGAGGACCCTTCTAGAGAGGAATTGGGACACTGGGTCCCTGCTTCCTAATGAGCAAGCTTTGATGGGATGTGGAAGTATTTTGTGGGGAGAGGGACCCGTGCTCCAAACTGAAGGTCCCACAAGCCACTTGTGTGCTCAGCTGGGACCAGGCTGGCTCCTCACCTGGCTGGCGTGGATGTGGGAGCTCATGGCTACCTTCAGCCTGAGCTGCTTAACTGGGGAACATTTAGTTTGACCCTCAAATCAGAAGAAGGATAAATTCCCAGGCATACGCCCCCCCAAATACCCTTCCTGCCATCTGCTGCCACTGCCACAAGGTGATGGGGCGAGGGAGGGGCCGTCCAGAGCTGCTCTTCCTAGGGTGGTCTGAGAGGGAGGTGAGGGGTAATGGGAGACTGCTCAGCACCCACTGCCCGCCCCCCGAGTGGGTCCATCATGCTCAGCCATCCATCGTTTCTCCAGGCTCAGAGTCCCCCCACTGGCTGCACCTCAGGCTGTACCTTCTGGTCCACCTGAATGATCATGGCATGTCCATCCTGGACCCCGTTAGTCGCAACCCCCCTGCTCTGGTCCCTTTGGCAGCTGCCCTCCCAGCCGTGGGTCCTTCTGCAGGGGAAGCACCTGCTTCTGCCACTGTCCCCCCCCCAACTCAGAGTTATTGTGCTTGATCTAATTAGCAGTGAAAAGCAAATGAAGCAGCAGCCTGGCCTGCGCATGGGAACCCAGCAGCGAGAGGGAGACCCCGCCTGGTGGGCAGGGCCTGGGAGAGCCTCTGGCTTGGCGGCTGCTGCTGCAGGAGCTAGCCCTGGAGTCCTGAAGGGCAGAGGAGGGCCAGGCAGCCCCCATGCCAGGCCCACAGCTCCTCCTGAGCATCAGCTGACTGGCTCCTTTTGCTCCTTGTTTGCAGCGCGCCACCCCTGCAGGCCAAGCAGAGCACCCGCCTCGAGTTCGAGGTCAAGCCCAGCAAGAGTGGGACGAAGCAGCTGCTGGTTAATTTCTCCTGTGACAAATTTCAAGACATCAAAGCCTTTGAGCCCATTAATGTCTCTGCCTGAGCATGACTAGCCATGGAGCAGCCTGCCAGGAGGATGGAGCCAAGCAGTGGAATGGGGAGCCTGAGCACAGCGGGGCCTCAGCCCCATTGTTTTCATGTGCATTTTAATACAAGTTTTCTTCTTATATCTCCACTGTGTGACGTCCTCTTCTTCTGGCTGGTGCGTGCCTTTGAGAACCCCCCAAAACCCGACACATTAGCTGTGAGACCTTAACCCCTTTGGTCTCTCCCAACTCTGTGGCTCTCTGATTCTATGACATTTTGACTCTTGGGACACCACGGCCTGCCGACCCAGCAGCAGAAACAGGAGATGAAAAGCAGCCCCCATGCAATCAACAGGACTCGGGGGGGGGGGGATTCCAGCCTCTATGCAGGAAGGGGGCGCTGGAACCTGGCAAGGAAAGTCCCCTGTGGGGCAGCGAGCGAAGCCCTGCCAGGGACCGTCATGGTTGAAGCAGTAGCGGCCATTCCTTCACCAACCATCCATCTCCTTCATGTGTGTGTAATCCGTGGATCCCCAATAACAGCCCAGAGCAGAGGACACCAAAGGGGGGGGGGGTCCCATCCTTGGCTGCAACATTAAAAGCACAGGGATTAGGCTATGAAACCTTGTTTTGAGCAAGTCCAGCTATCAACTCAACTGACTCTCCCTTTCTTACCCTGATTAACAAAGTCAACAACCTGGGAAGTAAGTTTAAAATATAATTTACTTATTATCATGCATTGGTTCACAGCAATGGCAGGAGTAAAAATTATGCAGGCAAAATACCTCTGAGATTTTATGGCCTTCAAACTCCTGCCTTAAACCAATCGCCCAGCACACTTCCAGCAGAGTTGTAAACATGCAGCTTTTGCAAGCGGATTTGCCCTGATGGATAAACAGCTCAAGACGCAAGAGCAGTCCCAGCAATAAGCTCTTTATTGCCCGTATTAAGCCTAATTGTTGAAATATATACAGAAAGTCCATTTATGGCTGCTGGTCCCAACAGTGGAACATCTCACTTAGCATACTATGGCACACAGCAGTAGTCTAAGGAGAAACTCCAGGTATAGGGCGGTATATAAACTCAAGAAATAATAAAATAATAAAAAGCACAGTTTTTCAAGGCTATTTTTCCAGATGCTGCAAGCTGACAATGATCTCATTCTTATATTGCAGCAGTGTAACCATTCTGGTTTTTCTGGCCAGCATCTGAAAGTTGCATCACATACAGAACAGAAACTCACTCAGTTGTCTGTAAAACAAATGATCAATCCCCCAACAATATTTACCTTTACAGTACAGTCAAACCTCGGTTGTCGAACGTAATCCATTCCGGAAGACAGTTTGACTTCCGAAACGTTCAACAACCAAGGATCAAAGGGTGGCCAGCAAAGTCAATGGAGATAAAAGAAAAAAACTCCACAGAAGCTGTTCGGCTTCTGAAAATTGTTCAAATACCGGAGCAGTTATTTCTGGGTTTTTGGTGTTCGGGAGCCAAAATGTTCCAAAACGGAGGCGTTTGGGAGCCGAGCTTGGCTGTATAACCAGTTTCTGGCATCTGCCTGCAGTGGAGCAGGCAAAGGGAACGTCTGCCCTCTTGGCTGGCCAAAGGGAGAGAGAGGAGCAGGAAGTACCAGGAGGCCCCCAGGAGAGGAGGGGAAATGACATCACACAGAGTCCTCTCTACCAATTGCATTTTGATGGTCTTGGTCCTTAGCAGTCAGCTGTAATCTTAGCCCCTTCTCATGCTAACTAGCAAGAATAGGCTTTTGTTTTGTTTGGCTGCTAATGGCCCACACTTTTTCAGCTGAGGCAAGCAGACCTGTGCCCCAGCACACCCTGTTCTGTTCCCCATCCGCAGCTGGGCCAGGCAGGCTGCAGTGGGGTTCTCTTTCTTGCTCAGGCTGCTCAGGCGTCCTGCTGGCCCCCTGCATGTTCAGCAGTTTCCCAATGAGCCGCCTTGGGCAGGTGTGGCAAGGAGATTTGCTCTGTGGGTGGCCCAGCCAGGGAAGCGCCACTGGATCCCCTTGGCTGTGCTGGCCTCCATCAGGGCAGCTCTGGCAGAGCAGCTCCCCAAGGAAAGATGCGTGGTGGCTCATCCCCCTCCGTGGCACTCTGAGCCCCAATGGATCTGTGTCCCACTGCCCCAGTCCAAGACTCTCACCTCTGCCTTTGTCTGCAGAGGAAGAAAAGCCAGGGGTGAAATGCCCCAAGCCCACTGAGGCGAGCCCCAACCCAGGGACTGTGCAAGAAGGAAGACGTCCAAGACTAATCCTTGTTAGCTCCTCTCCCCCTTCCTCTCAATGAGGCCCAATGGCTTTGGGGGAAGGGCATCTCTGAGGATTTGCCTTCCAGCTCTTGTGATGTTCAAAAGAAAAATCCTCACTGGGGCAGCTGCCTCCCCCTCACCTGCAGTTATGACGCTGCGATTGGCAGTCCAGAGGGTAACACCAAAGTAGGACCAAAAGCAGAAAAAAGACAAAACTTCTCCCTTTGGGAAGCTGGCAGTAAAGTTAAGTTTCCCCAGAAAAATTGCAGAATGAAGGAGAATAACAGAACCCTGAAAACAGAAGCTGCAGAGGGATAACCCTTGGCATGAGAGTTTCTCAATGCTCCTTGTTGTGGTTCTGGTTCATACATAAACTACTTATGCTGCAAATTACCATCATTAATGGAATTGATCTGTGTAAGACCGAGGTTGCCTAAGGCAAAACACCTGCCTGTCCCTGTAATTTGCAGGCGCCCCAAATGTGGTTTGAGCATCATGCTCCCCTTCCAGTTTATTTTCTTGCTCTCTGGCTCCCTGGTTTCCAAGATGCCTGGTGAGGCCAGAAAGCAGAGGTTATTCCTCATTCCGCTTTCTCCTGGAGGGGTTTCTGAGTCCAAGTTGTATTTCATAGGAGTACAACGAAGACAGGAGATGGGACAGGACTGCAAATGTGGAAAGGGTGTTTAGGCTGGAACCCCTTTGTGGTTGAATGTTAGATAAACTGAGCATTTCACTAGTGGTGCGCTGGACCAGTCTTTCTGAAAACATGCCCTGTGGGAGATGCAGCAGAAATCTTGGGTGACAAAATATAGTGAAATAGCTCTAAGCACATGGCCTGAGCTGATAGTGAGCAAGCTCTGGCCCTATCTCAGTGAGTTCTCATGACTGAACAAAGGAGAAAACTTCCTTCCAGGTGAGGGGGGTGAGCTAGATGAGTCTAGGAATACAATTCTGTGGTCTTAACCATTTCATGCATTGTGCACTAAGCTTGACTACAATTTCCCACAACTTGCTCAGGGTGGTTGAAACAAAGACTGTGAGGAACTCTCCAAACTGAGAGGATGTTCACAATAACAGCTTGGCATGCAGTGAGGTCATCCCTCCTCCTGGCTACACTGAAGCACAGAGCAGTTGTCTGCACCAGAGAGGGGGTGGGGTGGGGATGTCTTTACCCAATGAAGCACATGACCCTTTTGGACAACCCCCCCATCCCCTTCCATCTTTGCCTGCGCCACTGCTGTTCACGTCACCACTTGCTCCTCATCCAGTTTCCTAACTGGACAGAAACTGGTTTGAGGGAAAATGCATCAAAGAGCAGGATTTGCCAGGAACCTACAGAATTGATACAGCTTGTGGCAAACAGCGCATGGATGCAGCTTCGGAAATGAAGTAGGAATGCCCTGGATGGGAATGGGGAGGAAAGGGGCAACGGCAATTCAATGCAAACAAGTTTTTCTTTTTTTAAAATAGATGTTATTAAAGTCTGAAAACGAATTCAAAGGTCAACATAAAAGATAAAAAACTAATCTAAACAAAAGCACAAACAAAAAAGAAAAGAAATAAAGTAAAGAAAATGATAACTTCTGATTCTTTGTCTGTCAGCTATATATAGAAAATTGTTCAAAGAATCCATTCCAAAATAATTCCCAGAATTCCACCAATATCATTTTCAATCCTCAATATTATATTATAAGGTCATTTTCTTTTTAATGCAAAAAGTCTATAAGGAATGTCCAATCTTGAGTAAATATTGACAATATTTTTCTCTGATTAAACATGTCTACTTCACCATCTCAGCTAAATCCAATAATTTTAACAACCATTCCTCCATGGTAGGTAATGATTAATCTTTCCATCTTTCTGCGTATAAAAGTCTCGCAGCTGTAATCATGTATTGAAATAAAGTTCCATAATCTTTTTCTAATTAGAATCATAGAATTATAGAGTTGGAAGGGATTCCCCCAGGCTGATCTAGTCCAACCCCCTGCAATGCAAGACTCTCAACTCAAGCTCCCATTCAGTGCCTTCGGTATCTTCTTGTATGGGAAGGGGGATGATCTATTCTCTTACATTCTTGTATTCTCTTGACATAGTGATATTTCTGACTTGCAGCCACATTTGATACTAAGCAAACCCCTAGCCAGTTCAGGTATCTCAGGTGTTCCAGCTCAAGCACACCTGGTGCAACTAATCAACACCAGTTGTATTTGTGCTGTTGTGAGGAATTCTATGCAGGGGGTTGAATGATAGTGAGACTGGAGAAGCCAGTATAAGTTGCAATTTCAGATGAATTGGAGGGAAACCACTTGAAGCATCCATTGTGTTGAGCTATTTCAATTGCTTTTGTTTGATTTGCTCATTGCAAACAGCCGAAAGTCTGTCATTTTTGATAATAAACCTGATCTGCAAAGGGAGTTGAATAATTTTGATTTCAACTGTATGTTGTATGAAATAGCCTCTTACGGTTTTTTTTTTAAATGATATTTATTAAAATTTCAAAAGAAAAAGATTACATTAATAGGAAAATTAACAATAAAAAGGAAAAATACAAAATACAAAAAAGAAAAAACAGTTAAAAACAATTCCATCTTTTCATCACTTCTCTTACATTTACTTATTTCCCGGACCTCCTCCTACCTCCCTCTTTTGTATTCCAATTCAATTTGTTAGTCCAGCAATTCCTTTCCCTCCTTTTTAATCCTAATCTTTAATCTTAATATATTATAACATTAAATTTTTACGTATTAAAAACCAATTTTTCCATATTCTTTTATACCATTACAGCTAGAAACCACTTAACTTCAATCCGTCATCATTCTAACATTCATTAATTTTACAGTATTTCTGTAAATAGTCTTTCAATTTCTTCCAATCTTCTTCCACCGACTCTTCTCCCTGGTCTCGGATTCTGCCAGTCATTTCCGCCAATTCCATGTAGTCCATCATTTTCATCTGCCATTCCTCCAGTGTGGGTAGATCTTGTGTCTTCCAATGCTTTGCAATAAGTATTCTTGCTGCTGTTGTAGCATACATAAAGAAAGTTCTGTCCTTCTTTAACACCGATTGGCCGACTATGCCCAGGAGAAAGGCCTCTGGTTTCTTCAAGAAGGTATATTTAAATACCTTTTTAATTCATTATAAATCATTTCCCAGAAAACCTTAATCCTTGGGCACGTCCACCAAAGGTGAAAGAATGTACCTTCAGTTTCTTTACATTTCCAACATTTGTTATCGGGCAAATGGTAGATTTTTGCAAGCTTGACTGGGGTTATGTACCACCTGTATATCATTTTCATAATATTCTCTCTTAAGGCATTACATGCCGTAAACTTCATACCTGTGGTCCACAACTGTTCCCAGTCAGCCATCATTATATTATGTCCAACGTCTTGTGCCCATTTGATCATAACAGATTTCACCGTTTCATCCTGAGTATTCCATTTCAACAGCAAGTTATACATCTTTGACAAAATCTTAGTTTTGGGTTCTAACAATTCTGTTTCTAATTTTGATTTTTCCACCTGGAAGCCGATTTTCTTGTCCAAATTGTATGCCTCCATTATCTGATAATAATGAAGCCAGTCTCGCACTTTGTTTTTAGTTTTTCAAAACTCTGCAGTTTCAATCTATCTCCATCTTGTTCCAAAATTTCCCAATATTTCGGCCATTTGACCTCCATATTGGGCTTTTTCAGAGCTTTCGCTTCCATCGGTGACAGCCACCTTGGTGTTTTATTTTCCAATAAATCCTTGTATCTTATCCAGACATTAAACAATGCTTTCCTGACAATATGGTTTTTAAATGCTTTATGTGCTTTGACCTTATCATGAAATAGCCTCTTATGAAAGCTTAATTGAATCCCAAACTGTTTGCATCTCTATGACTTTGTCTAAATTATTCTCCAATAAATATTTTAACTTCTGTTTGCAGTCTTGTACAACCTTTTCTTGTTGTAATAAGTCTCTACACAAACATTTTTTTCCTGTGAAAGTCATAATAACTGGATTATGATTGAGAAAGTATTTGCTAATGTTAAAGCCGGAGGGGGGGATTGTGACGCCCCAGAAGTGGTACCATGGCCTCGAGTCAGGATGATGAGCCTGAGCGTTCCCCTACACTGTTTGCACAAATGCAACATAAACCTAAAACCCCAAAGCTCCCTCTTTTGTTCTAATTCTAATTTTTGTTCAACGTAATGTGTGTACATTCAGAGGATGACTACCAAACCATCCTAAATGTATTCGCAGAAGCTTACAAGAAGCTTGGCCTATCGCCCAACATCCAAAAAACCAAAGTGCTGCACCAACAAGCACAAAACAATCCCTCTGCACCACCACAAAGCGACCTCAGTGGTGGAAAGTGTCAATCACTTCTCTTACCTGGGCAGTTATCTTTCCACAAGGGCCAACATTGATGCCGAAATCCAGCATCGCCTGAAAGTGCAACTTTCTCCTGATTGAAATGCAGAGTGTTTGAGGACCAGGACATTCGCAGGGAAACCAAAATGCTTGTTTACAAAGCTATTGTACTAGAACCTTACTGTATGCTTGTGAAACATGGACCACTTATAAACGCCATCTCCAACTTTTTGAAAGATTCCATCAACAGTGTCTCCCAAAAAATTTACACATCACTTGGGAAGACAGGCAAACTAATACCAGCGTACTGGAAGAGGGAAAGATCAACAGTGTGGAAGCAATGATTCTTCAACATCAACTTCGTTGGACTGGTCAAGTTGTGCGGATGCCTGATTATCGTCTTCCAAAGCAACTACTCTATTCCAAATTTAAGAATGGAAAACGTAATGCTGGTGGTCAACAGAAGAAGTTTAAAGACTCTTTCAAGGTAAATCTTTAAAAAGTAGTATAAACACCAACAACTGGGAAACATTGGCCTGTGAGCACTCCAATTGGAGAACAGCCTTTACCAAAGCAGGGCAGCAGTTGAAGAAGGAGCAAAAAGGGTTTTCTTGTGTGTGTGTGTTTCTTTGTGGCTGATTGGCTGCTCTCCCTGTGCAAAGGTCAGAGGGGGCAGGGTTTCTGTTGAGGCAGGTGATTAGCTGTGGGAGGAGCTTATCAGAGCTTGCAGGGCAGCGGTTTCATCCATCTTTTAGATTTAGGGGAGCTAGTCTCAAACGTTTGTTGGGGGAGACCTAGGTTTTTTTGTGGGGGGAGTTATTTGTCCTGTCTTCACGCTTTTTATGATGGAGGACCACTGTAGCCACCCCCAACGACACGTTCTCAAGATGGAGGGGGAGGGAACAGCTGCAGTCGCCTGTGGTTCCTGCGCAATGTTTGCCATCTTGCCAAAGGTTGCAGGCAGCTTTACCTGCAGCAATTGCATGTTGATTGCCCTCTTAAAAGACAAAGTCCAGCAACTGGAGGAACGTGTAGCTACGCTCCAAAGAATTAGAGAGCTGGAGCTCTTCTTGGAAGCAACAGAGCACACCGTCTCCACCAAGGAGGAGACAGGGGACTCCCTGAGAAGGAGGCTAGTTCACCAACACAGGAGCCAGATATATGGAGAAACGTGACTCAAAGAAGTAGGAGGCCCAGGGTTCGCTCTGATTGTTTAGAAATACACAATCGCTTTGAGGTCCTCTCCCCTAGCATGGAAGACGAAGAGCAGACTCCATTTGAGGATCTCTCCCTCATTACAGTCGATCAGGTGTATGAAGACAAGCAGCAAAGTCAGTCCTCAAGGAATGTGCAGGCGACCTTGGAACGGACAGCTCACAGAAGAACCCCGACCAAACCTAAGAGGAGGCATGTAGTGGTGATAGGGGATTCCCTACTGAGGGGAACAGAAGCAGTGATCTGTGGGCCTGACAAGATGTCTCGGGAAGTGTGCTGTCCCCCGGGGCTAAGATCCAAGATGTAACTGAACGACTGCAAGGAATCATAAAACCCACTGACAAATATCCCTTCCTCTTGGTTCATGTAGGAACCAATGACACTGCAAGCAATAGCCTCCAGAAGATCAAAAGAGACTACGAGGCTCTGGGCAGGAAATTGAAGCAATTAAATGCACAAATTGTCATCTCATCTGTCCTCCCAGTTGAACGACGTGGCCCAGGGAGAGAGGGAAAAATAATGGAAGTGAACAGCTGGCTTCGCAAATGGTGTAAACAGGAACAGTTTGGATTCTTAGATCACGGACTGCAGTTTCTTGAAGATGGACTTCTGGCAAGCGATGGGCTGCACCTCACAACGGTTGGGAGAAATGTTTTTGCCAAAAATCTCAGAAACCTCATCAGGAGGGCTTTAAACTGACTAATGTGGGGGGAGGGAGACAGTGCTCCTGAAGGTAGGAGTCTATCAATTGATGAAGGTGATCATCCAAATGTCATAGACCAAATGGAGCAAACAGCACACAGACCTAGTGGTGGGAGGAAAAATCCTTAAATAAGAGACACGGGGAATGATTAATGGACTTCAATGTCTGTACACTAATGTGCAAAGCATGGGAAATAAACAAGATGAGCTTGAGCTCTTGGTACAGCAAACTAAATATGACATAATAGGCATCACTGAAACCTGGTGGGATAAGTCCCACGATTGGAATGTAATAATGGGGGGGGATACAATCTATTTCAGAGAAACAGACCAGACAAGAAAGGAGGAGGAGTGGCGTTATATGTCAGGGATGTGTATACCTGTGAAGAGATCCAAGATTTAGAACCTCAAAGCCAAAGTGAGAGCATTTGGGTCAAAATTAAGGGAGAGAAGAATAAGAGTGACCTCATTGTGGGAGTTTACTATAGATCCCCAAGCCAAACGGAGGACATAGATGATGCCTTCCTGGAACAGATGGCCAAGCATGCAAAAGGAAGGGAGATAGTAGTAATGGGGGACTTCAATTACCCGGATATTTGTTGGATGTCAAACTCAGCCAAGAGCATAAGGTCAAACAGATTCCTCACTGGCCTTGCAGACAACTTCATCGTCCAGAAAGTGGGAGAAGCAACAAGAGGAACAGCCATTTTAGATCTGGTCCTAACCAATGTTGATGACCTGGTTAGTGGGGTAGAAGTGGAAGGATCATTAGGCGCGAGTGATCATGCTCTTCTGAAGTTTACTATACAGCGGAAAGGAGCAGCCAAGCATACTAGGACTCAATTTCTTGACTTTAAGAAAGCCGACTTCATAAAACTTAGGGAGTGCTAGGTGAGATCCCATGGACAGTAATACTAAAAGGAAAGGGAGTTCATGATGGCTGGGAGTTTGTTAAGAGGGAGATAGTAAAGCACAACATCAGGCAATACCAATGAGACGGAAACATGGAAGGTGCCTAAAGAAGCCAGGGTGGCTATCTAAAGAACTTTTAACTGAGTTAAGATTAAAAAAATGATGTGTACAAAAAATGGAAAAGGGGGGAAACCACCAAAGAGGAATTCAAACAAATAGCCAGCACGTGTAGACACAAAGTCAGAAAAGCTAAAGCACAGAATGAACTCAGGCTTGCTAGAGAGGTTAGGGAGCAATGGATCCAAACTACAAGAAAGAAGATTCCACCTAAACATTAGGAAGAACTTCCTGACAGTAAGAGCTGTTCGACATTGGAATTTGCTACCAAGGAGTGTGGTTGAGTCTCCTTCTTTGGAGGTCTTTAAGCAGAGGCTTGACAACCATATGTCAGGAGTGCTCTGATGGTGTTTCCTGCTTGGCAGGGGGTTGGACTCGATGGCCCTTGTGGTCTCTTCCAACTATATGATTCTATGATTCTATGAAAGGTGTCATGGGCTTTGGAGACACTCGAACTCAGGACACAAGGAACAAACACACTAAGAGGAAGGCACGCTTGGCAAATCCACACCATGATGAACTCCCATGCTAATCTTCTCTGTATCGTTCCAATTTTAGTATATGTGCTGCCGAAGCGAGCACCACACCATGATGAACTCCCACCCGGAAACTAATGTCCCCACTGTGGAAGAATGTGTGGATCCAGAATTGGCCTCCACAGTCACTTACGGACTAACTGTTCAGACTGTGTTCATGGAAGACAATCTTACTCGGCTGCGAGGGATCACATGCAACCCATGTTTGGGGTTCCTACCCTTTGTGTGTTTGAACCTTGAGGCAACACTAAAGATTGGGTCTACTGGCGCAGTTTTGGTTTTTAAACTTGGCTGGAAATTCCTTCTTTACTGACTGGAGGGACCCACGGGGAGTGGCACCCCAAGGAGCTGGGCAGCAGAGTCAGCCTGCACCCCAGGATTTCCCTTTTTAACTATATGTCAGCTTTATGCACCCAAGTAACCGGTGTCTGTCCACCATATCATGTCTGTTCTTGAGAAAGATCTGTGTCTTTTGCTGAAATATGTAAATTGCTTTACATCTCCATTTTATCTCACCAGATATCAACAAGTTCCAAATTATCCATCATTTTTTTAAAAAATGTTTAGGTACCTTACCCTAGGAAGTTTTAGTATTTTTCTCTGAAGCTCTAGCCTGTATTGTGAAGACCACTCCATTCCAATCTCCCATAACGCACCAACTTTCATATGAAAAACCCACCAACTTTTCCATAAATCATTTATAAAATATTGATTTGTCTTCATTTGGGGCATAAATGCCTAAAACCACAGTTTTATTCCCTTGGATGCTAACTTCCACCCCAAGATATCTATCTTGCTTTGGAACGGGACGGAATGGGGGGGTGGGTTCTTTTTTTTTTATCTTATGTGATTACCTAACAACCCCCCCCCCCGGAAGAATCGTTGCAATTACTGAATATAAGAGGAATGATTAAGAACTGTGTGGAAATGAATTACTAATCAAAGACATGGCTTGTGAAATATTTGGAAAAGAATGAAAGGCCTTTGGAATGACGCAGCTATAAAAAGAGACTTGTTAGGAAGCAGGCCTGGTGGCTGGATTTATGATCGAGGGGGAGGAGACCACGGCTTTGTTATTATATCGGAATGTGAGTTTGACCTGGCAGAACCCCCTAAGAAGTTGGAGGAGAGAGTGACAGGCTTGCAAGGATTAACGGGCAGACTTTAAGAATGCTTTGTATCGAAGTGTTGAAATGGCGTCTGTCTGTTTGAATATGGCTCTTGGAGGAACGGACAATCCACACAGGATATAACAACGTTTGTTTTTAACCCGCTTGTGGAGACTATCAGAGGTCACAAAGAAAGGAATATACGATAACAACAAGAAGATGAAGAAAATAATAGAGAGAAGATTGGACAGAACTGTGAATACTATTTGGACAGAACTGTGAATATTAAAGCAGCAGCAAGAGAGATGTTTGGATCCCTTTCTGAGCTCGAAGCATGGGTACCCCCAACAAAAATTTAAAAAATTGGTTTTGTAATTTGGAATTAATGTGATCTGATTGGTTTGTTAATAAAAATTATATGGAAAAAAAACATATCTACCTTGCTCATCAGTTTTGGGCAAAATTGGAATGTCTATGTACATGTAGAATAACCCCATTTTTTTCTTCAGTTCTGCAGACAATTTCCTCAGCTAAATTTTTTTGAAACAAATATTTTATATTGTTTTCCCTAATACGTGCTTCTGGTAAACAAATAAGATCCAATTTTCAACTAATGAAAGATCTCTTTTCTCTTTTCAAAGGGCTGGCTATAAGATAAAAAGCCCTGCACAGCTTAGGTGCCAGCTATCAGAAGTGTCATATCCCTTCACATCAAACAGCCCTTCTCTTGGTCCTGCCACCTTCACAGGCGCCCTTGGTGGGGTGGGGGAGGGGCTTTCTCCGCGATGGTTGTGGGAGATGGATTGAGGGTTAAATCTGCAGGCTAAAATGCAAAAGTAAACAGGCTGTGAAGACTCTGTAACAGAGTAAAACACTCTTAATAAAGCTTAGAAACAAGGCAATCATACCTTTTACCACTTTTATTTGTGGTCTTCTGACCTTTCCATTGCAGAGAATAAACCACACAGCTTTTTTAGTAAGATAGACAAAAAAGTTTACGTACAGGAAAACACTTCTAAGTTACAGTAAAACAAGAGTTTGCAGTTGCAACAAACATGGCCGAAACCAGCAGCTTTGGGAAAACAAATCTGCTTAGCTTGGAAGAGAGGCAACTTTGGAACTCCCTGCCTAGAGAAGTCAGGCTGGCTCCCTTCTTGTTGCTCTTCCACCAGCAGGTGGAGAGCTTCTCGTTTCGACAGGCTCTGGGGATCAGACTGCTTTTAATGAACGGGTTGGCACCGTGCTGTTTTTATTGTAATTATCTTCTGTTATGTGAGTGTGTGTACAAAATTTTATTAATGCTTATTTTAAAAAAAACGATTTCCCCTATATTTTTAGCTGTTCTTATTTTATTTGTAAGCAGCCTTAAGTCCTTGTCAGGGGGGAAAGGTTGGGTATGAAATAAAAATAATAAAAATAATTATTAGTAGAAGTAGTAGTTGTTGTTGTTTACTCGTTCAGTCGTGTCTGACTCTTCGTGACCCCCTGGACCAGAGCACGCCAGGCACTCCTGTCTTCCACTGCCTCCCACAGTTTGGTCAAACTCATGTCTGTAGCTTCGAGAACACTGTCCAACCATCTCGTCCTCTGTCGTCCCCTTCTCCTTGTGCCCTCCATCTTTCCCAACATCAGGGTCTTTAGTAGTAGTAGTAGTAGTAGTAGTAGTAGTAGTAGTAGTAGTATAAAGCTGATTTTTTTGGATATAAGGCTCCGAATGGAAGAGGGTGTTGTTGTGGACCTGTGTGCTTGCTGTCCATCCCCTGGGAAATGCCTCTGTACCTGCTCTGAACATGCTCTGAACTTGCAGCAGCAGGAGAAGAGTAAGGCAACCATGTCAGACATCTGCCCACTGCAGGGGCGCAAGGTGGGGAGAAGGCGGATCCCTGTAACTGCAGGTGGTGCAAAAGCAGAAGCCTTCCAAAGAAGAGGGAGGGAGCTGGAAGTGCTCAGCTGGGGTGGAGGAGGATGCTGAGGGGAAATTAAGCAGAGCAACAGCCTTAGACATCTTCCCAGCATTCTGTGATTCACAAAGAAGGCTTTGGAGCAGGCTACTTCCTCCTGAGTAGGACATTGAGCAACATCAGGACCATTAAGTTGGGCAGGGAAGTGGCAACAGCATTGCTCAACTCCAGCCCTGTGGCAGACTTCCAGAAGCCATCATGGAGTTCAGGCTGGGCTTGTGATGATTCCCGGTGAAGAATCCAGGAAGCAAACAAGGACAAAGTTGCAGTTCAGCAGATGAATCTCCAAACTGGAAAGTCAAGCCAGGCAGATACGGATCTGTACACAGCGGGGAGAATGCCTGGGCTGGGAATTCTGGGCTGGGACAAGCATGGCTGCCAGCAGTAAAGGTGTGGAGGTCAAGTTCTTGAGCAGGCAAAAGGCTCAGAGCAGGTAGTTTGCAGGAGCCCAGAGCTGGGAGGAAGCGGGGATCAAACAGCCGGCACCGTGGCTTGTAATGAAGGGGTGGAGTGAGTGAAGCACGACCGAGGCAACGCCACCACCTGAGACTGCCTGAGCAGCAAGAGGAGGCAGTGGCAGGTGGTTCCCAAGGCATCGCAGCAGCAGCAGCAGCACAAGGAGTAGGTGCCACGGTAGGAAGCAGGGGCTGCCCCCAGAGGAAGCCAGACCGGGAGGGGTGGCCCAGGGGCAGCTCACGCCCAACAGGCTGATGGGCATTGTGGGAGTGAGCCTTTGGCCAGATCCAGCCACAGGGCTCTTTCATGCTCTCAGGTGAAATGGGGCAGGGGGAGGTGAAGCTCCCCTGGTGCGTCTGTGGGGCAGGGGGGCTGCGCAGCTCCTTGTCTTCTGTGGCTCTGTAGTGTGGTGGGGAGGCATCAGCCTGAGAGGACAAAGGAAGGTGTGAGGTCTGTTGAGAGCTGAGGGAAAAGGGGATGTCTGGTTGGACAACCAGTGATGGAGAGGACCTGAGAGGATGGAAGGCACTCAGGAAGGGCCCCAAGAAGGTCCCCAGCAGATAGAGAACGGGGGAGCTCAGCACCCCTTGGGGCACCCAGTGGGGTGGGGGAAGCTTTGACCCCAGGTTGGCCATGGCCATGTCACCCGTTAGACAAGCCTTGCTGAGAGGTGACGTAGCCACATCTTCCCTCCAGAAGATGACTAGTGCTCTTGTCTCACATCTTCCTAACTGAGTCTTTTTGAATTCCAAGCCTGGAAGACATTCTTGATGCAAAGCAACCAAGGGCCACTGGAGACCTTCAGAGAAGATCAATACTCCACTGGCAAAAGGTACTTCACTTTCCTCAGCCAAAACACAATTTCTAGAAACCTCAGTAAAGCTCATCTGAGGAGAAGGAAAGGCTCCTCCACTGTCTGAGGTACCACCTCAAGCCCAGGAGAAACAAAAATGGGGAGGGGAGAACGTCGATGCCAATGAGGCATTGTGCAAGAGGCCCAAGGGAGCCAGCGATGGGTTTCTGCAAGAGTCCCTGGGGATGGTCAGCCCCTTCTCAGCCATGGAACTCACTTGGTGGCTTTGGGTCTCTCTCTGGTTAAGCAAGGCTACTGCCAATGCAGCCTAGCAGCCCATCCTTCCCTCCCTCTCAGCTGAAGCTGCCTCAAGAGGCTCTTGGAGCAGAACTGTAGATTGGCGAGAGACCCAAAGGGTCGTCTAGTCCAACCCCCTGCAATGCTGGAAGCACAGTTACCTTGTGAGGAGCAAATGGGGCCATGCCAGCTTCCTGGGGGAAGGGCAGGAGGCCAAAGGGATGTCCGCACACAGGCAGGAACCCCATTGGGAAATGGGAGGTGGCTGGGCTTGTGCAATGAAGGAGACGCAGGGCTCTGCCTAATGGAAGGGTGTGGGGAGAGAGGCTCTCTCTTCCTCCTGCAGTTTCTCTCCCTTCCCACCTGTTTCCTCGCCTCTGGGGGTGACTCCTCACCTTGGAATTCCATGTAGGAAGTCCTGCATGTCATCCTGCGCAAGCAAGTGAATGCACTTCCTCTGAGTAAACAAGGATGCCTTCTCCTCCCACTGGAGAGGAAAATTGCCCTTGCGCTGCCACCGATTACAGGAACTGGCTAATTGCACCTGGGTAGTTTTTAGGGATCAGCGGAAACATCCTCACATCACACCTGGCTCAGCGGACAGCAGGAGAGCGGCGAGGAATGTGCAGTAGGAGCTCCTGGCCGTGCTGAAGAAGACAAGACTCAAGGATGGGAGGTGAGTTTGGGATGGTGGCACCTGCCCCGGCCAGCCCTGCTCTCTGCTCTCTGCCCTGCAGCCTCCATGCTGTGGTCCTTGCTAGGGAGGGAGGGAGCTTTCTCTTTGGTGGCCTTTGGCTTGTTGCTCTGCTGAGACTGGAGTCCTCAGAAGAACACAAGGCAACTGTGCATTTGCTATCTCCCACATCCAAGGGGTCCAGCCCAGCTGCCTGGGGCCTTCCAAGGGAGAGATGGTGAGTTTCTGGGTGCCAGGAGAAATGGGGTGTTCCTCTTCCCCAGCAGCTTTACCCTCAGGGTGCAAGAGGGCCTTGAAGGTCCCAAGTGATGGCTCTTCCTCTCAAGGTGGCAATCTGCTCTGAGTGGACGGATGCAGCGCATTCTTGAGCATCCTGGAGTTCCTGCACCAGCCTCTTCTTCCATCTCTCCACTTCATGTATTTATGAGTAGAAAATATGAATATATTGCTCTTCATAAATAGCATCTGAGCAGTTTGCAACAATCCTCCACCAAAAGCCCATCAGCAGGTAGCCCTTCCAAACCCCTCAGAGTCCTGCTCTGGTTGGCCTCCCACTGCAACCCTCCTTGAGGCTCCTGAACCAAACAGTCATGGGGTGGTGTGTGTGTGTGTGTACGTGCGCCTGCCACTTTGATCTTTGTCCTGATCTGGTCTAACCCAGGTGGGAACTGCAAAACTGAGTACCCAGCACCCCCCGCCATTGGCATTAACCCCTGTGAAAGAACTGGGCAGCAAGTGGCGCATGAAGACCCAACAGCCACGTATCCCCAATGTTAGGGCAGGTTCTGCCTGCCTGGCATTTAATGCCTGAAACACCTGAGAGCATTTCCTGGTCTCACCACAATGGGAGCAACTGAGTCTTTGATCTCCCTCCCTCCCTCCCTCCCTTTAATGGTGACTCATCCTTCTTACTTCATCCTTCAGGTTCAGATTTGCCAAGTCTAGAGAGCAAAAACCCCGGAAGCGGCTGCTTCCCGCTCCATCCCCAAAGCACCAGCTGGATTATGGGCAACTCTAGAACGCTCTCTCTGGACTGGGGCATGGAGACTCAGTCTTGGCACTGACCTCTACCCTGTGCTGTCCTGGTGGTGATGGTGCTGGAAATCCCAAGGAAGCAGGAGCAGCAGCGCCCTCCAGCCCCTCGGCTGGGTGGTCAGGATGTGCCTGAGGAGGACTGCAGGGAGCTGCCTTGGAAAGGGAGTCCCTCAGCCCCGCTGAGCTCCTCTGCACTTGGGTGGCAAGGGCTGCCCGGCGTCAGGGTGTTTTGTCCTTGTTGCAAATCACCTTGTGCGTCTAATGAAGGCAAGGCCTCTTCCTCTTTGATGTCCCTGTCGGGAGACATGCAGCTCCTTCCCTGGCTGGCGCCCACGCCCATGCTGCTTCCTAATCTGTGATGATTGATTGATGTTATACATCCCGCCCCCCTTCATCACTTTCACACACAATCTTGACTTTTCATTTGATGCTGCCCTCTCCCCTTTTCCTTTTCTGTTGCAGTTTTCATATTTTGTGACATTGATTTAATTGGATATTGTAAGGTGGGTTGAAGAAACTTACCTGGAGAATGGGATGTAGGTGTGTTACTAAATAAAATGACGATAGCTGCTCTGGTCAGCATGGATGCTGCACCCTGTCGTGGCCACCCAAGAAGCAGAGTCTGCTTAGGAGAAGGCTTGGAGACGTGAAGGTGGACGAGCAGCAGCTGCGTCTGGCTGGCTGGGGGAGAGCAGAGTCAGGCCAGGCTCCACCGGCCCAGGCAGGCCCCTTCCAGACTGACCTTATGCTGTTCCACAGATCTGACACCAACACAGCTGAGCTGGCAAATCCCGGCCAATGGCCCGGCCCACCACACCAGCCGCTTTGCCTGCTCGGAGCTGGCTGTACGCCGGGGGCAGGGCTTCTTGCTGACCGTCTACTTCAATAGACCCCTTCAGTCCGGGGACAACTTTGCTTTCGTTGTAGAGACAGGTAAGGCCGCCCCCACCACTGTTTCCCCCCGTCCTCCTTCATGGCCAGCTGGCATCACTTGCATGGGCACCTCTTGGCCTGATCTCTGGCTGCAGGACAAAAAGGCGCCTCCGGGATGGCACCTCTGCTCCCCTTCGGTCCTTGCGCACCTTTGGCCTCTGCACATGGAAGCGGCAGATCTCCTGGGCCTCTTGCCTGCCAAGACCTTTTTGACCGCAGGGTTTCTCTTTCCCACCATCCTACCCCTGCATGCAAACATCTCTCTCCCACAAGAAGCTTGTCCATCTTTAAGGTGCTGCCAAAGACCCCTGGCTTGCCCTGTGCAACGTTATGCCCTCCACAGCGTTCTCTCTGGTGGGAAGCCAAGATGGCACCACCACCACAGGAGCTGTTCTGTGGCGCGGAAGAGACCGGGTCCAGTGCGGGCGCACACACGCACCAACACTCCTGTCCCAGGAGGTCTGTGCAGTGCCTGCGTCCAGAGGTTGGAATCAGGTTGGCCAGCTGGCTGGATCTTCATGCTGACCAAACCCTTCAGGGAGAACGTTGCCGCTTGGGTAGCCTCTCACAGGTATGAGTCACCTCCAATGACAGCTTTGCCTTTGCCTCTGTTCCCTCTGGCAGGGAGAGCCCCTTCGGAGTCCCAGCACACCCGGGCCGTCTTCCCCGTCTCCAGCGCCCTGACTGGAGGGTCCTGGAGTGCCATGCTCAGCTCCATCAATGGCAACTGCGCCAACTTCACCCTGGCCAGCCCCCCCACCGCTGCCATCGGCCGCTACAAGCTGAGCCTGCAGATGATGTGTGGCAACCAGGCCTATGCCCGCTTCCTGGGGCAGTTTGTCCTGCTCTTTAACCCTTGGTGCCAAGGTAAGATGCTCCTCCTGCCTGCCTGCCTGCCTGCGCAGGCCCTGCTGCCGCCCTTGGGATGGGCCTCTGCCCCACAGGGGTGTTTCTGCTGAGGGTTGACAGGCAGACAATGCAGTTGGTGCCACGTGACTCCCTTCCGCACCACAGCTCTGCGGTTTAGAACTCGTCCCTTAGGACAGCTTCCCAAGCAAGCAGGCAGGGAATCATAGACTCAGAGAATTGTAGGGGGCTTTGGGCTTATTTGCAGCTCAAAGCAGAAGCCTTGCACAGACCTCCTCCCCACCCCAGATGTTGGCATCTGGGCAATGAGATGCCTGACCCAGAAGCCCGACTGGGGCACAGCAATGCTTTACTGACCGGCTGGTGATGGACCGGGCTGATGCTGCAAGAGTTTGTAATGGTGGTCCTGGAGACAGAGTCGTCCCCCCCCCCCGCAGCACATGGGGCCAAGTGTGCTTCACAACAGCAGCAGGAGGAGGAGGAGGAGGAGGCCTCCCCTCTCCCTCCCTCCCTCCCTGCCTCCCAGGGACTCTCCTCCTGTTCTTCTGGTTGCATCACCCAGGGCCTCTGGGCTGCTCATCCATCATCCAGCTGGGCGGTGGAAACTCAGCACTCAGGACTAGCTAAAAATGGGAACGTGGCTGAAAGAAGAAGGGCAAGATCCAGCACGGCTGGGCAGGAGGCCAGATCCCTCTTTGCCCAGAAGAACGTTGGCCCAGTGAGCCTCCCAGAAGCACCTGCAGATCTGACTGCTGCTGCGTCCGACCGAGTCCTGACTTGCCCCTTCCATGCGTCAGCAGAGCAAGCAGCAGCCAGAGCCCTTTGCTACAGCAGCAGCTGCACAGGGGAGCCCCCCCCCATTTCCATGGGCCCCTTTCAAGGCCCCCCCCAAGCAGCCTAGTGGTTGCACTACCCCACCCCCAAAGGATAGGGAAGGGGGTAACATGGTCCCACTGGCTTTGCAAGGCCTAGCTGACAGCCCTCCCCTCCTAGGACAGATGCTGGGGGGGGGGTTGCCTCGAGCCAGGCCAAATCCCTGGCCTTGGAAGGCCCTGGAACTTGCCCACGCCAGGCTGGGAGACCCCAGAGGATGCCAGGTTTTTCTTGGAAGGGAGCCAAGGGCTAGGAAATCCCTTGCTGCAAAACGGCCGGCTTGGGAAGCTCCATGGCAGCTCCTTCTTTTGGCCCAAGGAGGCAGGAGCAATGATGGGGCTCAGCAAAAAAGCTCCTTGTGGGGCAAGAACATGGCAGGGAGGGGGCTCCCCTCTCACTGCCCAAGCAGAGCAGAGCAGGATGTGACCCTTTTGCCCAGGCTCCTTTGCACTGCTCAGCTGGAAAGCTCTCCCTCTCAGTTGTCAAGACGAGTGTCCCCATCCCCTGGGGCAGGGTCTCTGACCTTCAGGGTCACAGCCACGGTCTGCAGTGTCTACGCAAGAACCACAAAATAATAAAACTGTATTGTTGGAACAGACCGCAAGGGTCTACTAGTCCAACCCTCCGCAATGCAGAAGCACAGTCAGAGCATCCGACTGCCACCTTCCCAAGGAGTCTGTTCCACTCTTGAATAGCTCTTACCCCCAGAAAGTTCTTCTTAATGTTTTTTCTGGAATCTCCTCTCTTGCAATCCAGCTCTTTCATAAACTTACATTTGCAAGGATGTTCTATTCAGCAAAATAATTATTTTCCAAGCAACTGTTGCCCAGCACACACCAGAGGGAAACTGATTTATATGATCAAGTACTAATTTTAGAGCAAAGCTGGAGGCCCCCAAAGACATTTGAGGGGGGCATTTACCCCTTGCCACTTGGTTGTTCAAAGTCCAATCCAGCTTTACTTGAAGCACCCACTGCCAACCTCTTGCCTCCGCCCAACAGGAGACCTTGTCTACATGGCAGATGAAAGCGAGAGGCAAGAATACGTTCTGAACGAAAATGGGATCATCTTCGTGGGAAACGCCAACTATATCGAAGCGCGAGGATGGTACTACGGGCAGGTCAGTGTTAAGGTCTTGCTCCTGGCCTTCAAAGCACCAGCTCTGCTGCTGGCCCTATATCTCTGGGCTATGGGGCTGTGGCCCTATATCTCTGGGACTGGGGTTCCACCGCCCCTGCCAGGGGGACAGCAGCGGTGCCCTTGTAGCCTTAAGATGGAGAGGTGGCCAGGAGAGGAAGTGATGGTAAGGGAGGGGAGGCAGCATTTTCCTCTGCCTGGATCCTCAGAGCGATGGAAACATTCATGGGAGGATAAGCAGGGCAAGTAGTCCTGGGAAATGGGGTCATGGGGAGGTTGAGGAGAGCAGCTTCCTAGGCCATTGCTGTATGGCTGCACAGTCACCGTCGAGTGGGATGAGCCTTAATAGGTAGGAGAAGATATATTAATTGTAATTTATCCATCTAGGCACCCACGTGTGTGGGTTGAACAGGGTTTCAAAATATTCTTCTTCTTCTTTGGCAGTAGCCAAGTAAGATTGTCTTCCATGAACACGGTCTTAACAGTGTGTCCGTAGGTGACTGTGGAGGCCAATTCTAGATCCACATGTCCTTCCACAGTGGGGACATAGGTTTCTGGGTGGGAGTTGATCATGGTGATGGTTTGCCAAGTGTGCCTTCTTCTTAGCATGTTTCTCCCTTGTGTCCTGAGTTCAAGTGTCTTCAAAGCCCAGGACACCTTTGGTCAAGGCTGTTCTCCAACTGGAGCGCTTGCAGGCCAGTGTTTCCCAGTTGTCAGTGTTTATACTACATTTTTTAAAGATTTGCAGTGAGAGAGTCTTTAAACCTCTTTTGTTGACCACCAACATTACGCTTTCCATTTTTAAGCAAAATCACCCCATGCGTGGCAGAAAATTTAAAAACATAGGAATTATAATAAATCAAATCAATTAGGCTGTAGAACCTTGTTTTGAGCAAGTCCAGCTATGAAGTAAGTTGGCTCCCCTTTCTTACCCTGCTTAATAAAGAACCAGGCAACAGCTTGGAAGGTAAGCTTAATAATAAGATTCACTTACTTTAGACAGGCATTGGTTCACAGCAACAGGAGCAGTAAAGACTATGCAAGCAAGTCACTTCTATTTACTTTTCTGAGCTGGAGCAAGGGAGGCAGGTCTGCACCCATTGCTGGTCACAGGAAGAGAGAGAGAGGAGCAGGAAGTACTATATGCTCCTTCTTCTCTGGGAGAGGAGGGGAAATGACATCACACAAAGCCCTCTCTACCAATTGCATTTCTATGGTCTTGGTCCTTAGCTGTCAGCAATAGAGCTCTGTAGTCTTAGCCCCTTCTCCCGCTAGCTAGCAGTAACCTGCACTTTTTAGGTTGGGCTGCCAATTTCACGCATGCTGAAGGTTGTCCACATGTTCTGTGACTGTGTGTGTAGCCCAAACTAGAGAGTGCATTGCATGATGGAAGGGAATGGTTCCTGCCACCACCAGGAGCAGAACAAGACAAGACTCTCTTGGGGTCAGCATTCTCGGGTATTCCCTCCCAGTGTCAGGGGCTGAAGGTAGAAAAGAGGGAGGCAGCCACTGAGCCCAGCTCCATCTGTGCCCCATGGCTCAGAGGATGCTGGGCTGAGGCCTGAGATAATCTGTATCACAGAGAATGAGCAGAGGAGCGGCAGGTGCTCCGGCTGGCTGCGGAGCGCTGGGGGTCCCCACTTGCCCTGGAACCAGCTGGTACTTCTGCATCTTCATGTGCATAAGAAGACCCTCTGGTCTAACTTGCCCCAGTCTGAGGGCCCATGTTTCCCTCTCCACCTCTTGCCCCAACTGGAGTGCACCTTGGCTGGGTGCTGATCGGACCCTGGGTGACTGCGTGTATTTGTCTCGGTGTGGATGCTCCTCTGCTTCCTGGCGCTTTAGAGGACCTTCCTTTCTGCCTTGCAGTTCCAAGATAACATGCTCAACCTGGCGCTGATGCTTCTGGATCTGAGCCTCTACCATCGCCAGGACCCGGGTGGGGACACGTCGCGCAGGAGCGACCCTCGCTACGTGGGCCGGGTGATCAGCTCCATGGTAAGCGCAAGCCTCTGCCCCTTGATCCCAGGCGGGGTGAGATCCTTCAGGGAGCCTGAAAGCCCCCCCCCAGCTCCCAGGCCCCCCTCACCCGCCTCCCTGGCGCTTTAGGTCAACGGGAACGACAACGACAACGGGGTGCTGGAGGGCAAGTGGAGCGAGGAGTTTGCCCACCACGAGAACCCCTCTCGGTGGGACGGCAGCGTGGCCATCCTCAGAAAGTGGGCGCAGGACAACTTCCGGCCGGTCCAGTACGGCCAGTGCTGGGTCTTCGCCGGAGTGGGCGGCACAGGTAGGCTTCTGGCGGCACAGCGGAGGAAGAAATGGGGGTCGGGGGCGCCGAGCAGAGCCCAGACCCACCGGCCCCGCTCTCCTCTCTTTCGCAGTCCTGAGGTGCCTGGGCATCCCGACCCGTCTGGTCACCAACTTCAATTCCGCCCACGACGCAGACACGAACTTCAGCATCGACAAATACTACGATCCCTCTGGGAAGAGCATCAAGAGGGGACAAGACTCCGTCTGGTAAATGCGCCTGTCCGGCCTCTGGTGGGCGGGGAGGAGGGAGGGAGGGAGGGGGCCCTTCGGATGCTCGATCCCAGGATTCCCTTCAGAGAATCACAGAACTGTAGAGTGAGAGGGGACCCTGAGGGTCATCTGTTCCAACCCTCCGCAATGCAGGAATCTCAACTAAAGCGCGCCCCCCCCCCGGGGCCAGTCTTGCCAGGCCCTGGAGACAGACAACGGATATCGGGGGTTTCTCTCCATTTCTCACATTTCCAATCTTAAACTCAATTCTCCACCACCTTCATGGGAAGTTTTAAAGGAGGGGTTGGGTAGCCACCTGTCAGAGATGCTTTAGCTGAGATGCCTGCATTGCTGGGGAGTGGGTTGGTCTAGATGACCCTTACGATCCCTTCCAACTCTACGCTTCTATGAGTCTATTCATGTCTGTGTTTGGCTCTGGGGATCAGCCCCCCACAGGCAATGGAACTGTCAGAGGAATGCCAGATCTTGGGCCAGGATTCTGGCAAAGCCCAACATGGCCCTCCTCAGCCTGGGCTCCCGTCCGGGGGGGGGGGCGGGGACTGTTCTGGCCCAGGGGCCATTTCTCCCTCCCCAGCTCTTCGGGGAAGAGGAGTCACTTTCCCAGGAGAGCTGGAAGGTGGAGGGAGCCAAGGCAAACACCTGCCCCTTGGGCAATGCTGCTCACCGTCCTGTTTGCAGAGGCAGTTATGGCTCAGGGAGCACCTCTTTGCTCATCCAGTCCAAGATCAACAAGGGCAGAGCCCCGGTCACTCGGCTTGGCTAGGCAGCCCGTTATCATGCCAGGAGCAGCCATTGGCTTCATTCATCCCCATGTCTTTGCCCTGCTTCTTTGTCTATTTGGGGGACCCTTATGATAGCTAAATATGACTCCATTATAAAGCAATATTAAAACATGGGAGGGGGAATAAACATCATGTTTACCAATAATCACCAACCAGCCAGGAAATATTCCCCCTAAAGGTCCCAGAGGACCCATTGCTGACCAGTTTGAGCAGATTTGGCCAGAAGCCCCCGGACAGGACCTCCCTGCCTGCCTTTCTGCCTCTGGGCTCTGGGGCAGCGTCGTCTTTGAGGAGCCAACTCCTAGGGGCCGAGATCCCTTCAGCCACCCTAGAACATATGGCATTGCCATTCAAATGGTGTCCACGAACCGCCTCGTGTGATAATGTGGGGAAGGGCTTACTTGCCCCCCCCATATTTTATTCAAGTTGGCACCCCTGCCACCCCCCTCCTTGTGAGCTCAGCCCATTGGCTTGCCACCTGTGCATGAGGTTCGTGTTGTATAGAAGCTGCGTGTGGAGAGCCCTGGCTCTGCCTCGTGCCGCCCCCTCTTCAGGCGAGCCTGCAGCGCCTTCAGGGGAAGGGACACAGCTCAGCAGGGCCAAAGCATCTGCCTCACATGCAGCAGGTGCCCAGTTCAATCCCCAGCACCTCCAGGGCGGGCAGGAGAGACCCTGGCCTGAAACCCGGGAGAGCTGCTGCCTGGAAGTGTGGACAGTGCTGAGCTAGATGAGCCAGTGGTCTGACTCTGTATAAGGCAGCTTCCTATCTCCTTCTCTGTTCCTTCCCCCCTTCAGGGATTACCATGTCTGGAATGAATGCTGGTTCACTCGGAGGGATCTGGGGAATGCCTACTGCGGGTGGCAGGTGGTAGACGGAACCCCCCAGGAGAAAAGCCAAGGTAAGGCCCTCTCCTGCCCCCACCCCACCCTGGTCGCCTTCCAGAGCAGCTGCTGCATCCCGCTTTCCTTCCAGGGATCTACCAATGTGGACCAGCCTCTGTCCTGGCTGTCAAGCAAGGAGACGTGCGGCTGAACTACGACACGGGATTCGTCTTCTCCGAGGTGAATGCCGATATCAACCGATGGGTCATCTATCCTGACGGGAGGCAAGTCAGGGTCTATTGCGACACGACGTCCATCGGCAGCCACATCAGCACCAAAGCCGTGGGCAGCAACTATCGGGTGGACATCACCAACAACTACAAGTACCCAGAAGGTGAGTCCCCTTCCCTCCTGGACCAGCCCCTTCTGGCTGGCTTCCCCCCTTTCCCCATTTCTGATCTCAGGGGACACACCAGGCGGGGAGAGGCAGAAGCCACCACCGGCCAGGCCAGCATAGAGGCCACCAAATTAGCACACAGGTGGTCTCTCCAAACTGGGTGGCAGAATGGCAGGTTCAACGGAGTATCAATAAGGGCAAATCGATGCAGGGTGGGACAACTTGTCATCAGCTGTGACCCCCCAGGATGCAAACTTTGCCATTGTACTAGAAAGCAAGACCAAAAGATGACCAACTAGGAAAGGGAGTAAAAGGACAAACACCAAAATCACAATGCCAGTGTTTAAACTCCATTGCAGAATCGCAAATTTGGAAGGGACCTTGAAGGGCATCTAGTCTGTCCACACACACACACACCCTGCTCCATATGGGAATGAGTGATACAATAAGAACTTAAAACTACCTTGCTGAAGCAGCCCTCCAAAAGGGGGGCACCTAGTCCAAATAGCCAAACAGATGCCCCATGGGAAACCCCCAAGCAGGACCTGCGCACAAGAGCCCTGTCCTCTCCCCTCCTGGGGGTCCCAGCAGCTGGTATTCAGAAGGCCAATCAGGGCCAGTAGGACCACCTTTGTGGAGGGCTGGATTCTGCCGTTCTGAAGGAGGCCCCAGTTCTTGACCGTGGAGCAAATGACAAGCAGGAGATGCACAGCAGGTCTGTAAAATTATGAATAGCTGCCAACAGAGAGAACAGAGGGGAGTCTGTCTGCCTCGTGCCAGCCCACCGCCCTCCCCCAGCAATCCCTTTCCCTTCTAGAACAGAGAAAAGAGAATCCTTTCTCAAAGGCAGCAATCATAGCGGAGGTGGCGAAACTCCCAGGGAGGAGGGGGTCTGTCAGTGGCCACTACGAGGAGGCGCAAAATGGAGACTCCATGCTCAGCGGGAGAAGATCTCTGCATACCAGTTAGTCAGGCAACAACACGGGGTTCAGCCCTTCCGGGAAGGTGCATTTGGTTGGCCACAGCTGGAGGCAGAATGAGGGGCTGGGAGAGCCCACAGAGGCACCTGCACCCTTGGCCGCTCCCCCCGCCAGAACGCCAGGGAGTGTTTGGGACACCCGCTGGCAGAGGCTCTTCCCCCGTCCCACATGGAAACCTTCCTGCCTGTGCTCTGCCTGCCTTCCCTCAGTCTCAGGATTTCTGGCTGGAAGCAGCATTTGGGAAGGAAGGAAGCACATGCTGCGTGCGCAGAAGGTGCTGCTGCTGGTCCTTGGCACTGGAGAGAACAGCTGGGGATCCTGAGGCGCCCCCCCCCCGAGGCCCCCTGTGGGTGCCAGCAGAGCCAACCGCCCTGTGCTGGGCTTTAACTCTGCAGAAGGCGACTTCTGGGGCTCTGAGTCTGACTCCGTGCGGCCCTCTCTGCATTCACAGCACCCCATACGTCCTCAGGCACACCCGCCCTCCCTGCCGCGGTGCAGCTGCTGCCTGGACTCTGGAATGCGCTCCGTGCACATTCTCTTGGGATGAGGAGCCCCAGCCCTTGGCTCCTGGCCCAGCTCCACGTGCTGGAAACCTGCCAGCGCTCCTTGGGCTTCTGCCAGATGATCACTCCCACCCTTACCTGTGTCCATTGGACATCCTAAAGCAGCCCATGTAGGAGCTCTGGAAGGTGCTCTGTTCTGAGTTAGACCACTAGTCCATCTTAAGAGCATCAGAAGAGGGGCCATCTAGATACTCTCACAATAGGATGAACAAGCTTTTTATTTTTTGGCCAGTCAATTGGTCAACTGCTTTCAGCTGCTCAAAGGGCCAGTGCTATTTGTCTCCCACTCGCCCGCCCAGCTAGACTAGGGAGGCTATGTGCAGCAGGAAGCACCAGCCGAGTCAGGTCATTTCCCGCAATGCCATTCCTGCAGGTGTTCCTTCCATGTGCGCTGGCAGAAAAGGGGCACAGCAGGTGGGCAGTGTGTCAGACTAGACCTAAAGATCTGGAGTGAGCTGGAGGCCTGCATTTTGGCAGGGGGGCTTGGAACTGGAGGCTGACCGCTCCCTTCCTTTCCTTGCAGGCTCTGCCGAGGAGAGAAACATCTACCGCAAGGCCTGCTCCCAGATGTATGGGTCCACGCCCAGCGAGAGCCGCATGAGCACCACCGACGACGCCTCCGCCTCCGAACTCATCACGCACCCCGGGCTCTTTGGGAAGTTCAAGCTGGCCCAGCCGCCCATCCTTGGCAAGGACATCAACCTCATCCTCACCCTGGCCAACTTGGCCCCGGAGCCCAAGACCATAACTGTCAACCTGAGCGTCTCGAGTGTCCTGTACACCCGGACGGCCATCAGAGAGATCCTGAAGGAAGTGATGACTGTCAGCCTTGGCAACAAGGAAGGTAAGGGGCCTCCCCTGCTCCGTCTCTCAAAGCCCATCCAGGCAGGGAGGGAGAACAGGGGTTGTCTGCTGGGTGGCTCTACACAGCTTCTGCTGCCATCCAGGAGTGGTACTGACTGGGCAGCCCTTTGCGGGCACAGGGGCCCCCACCCGCTCCACCTTCTGGCACCCCCACCCCACTCTGCAATGGCCCCCTGGGGCTTCCAGACACGAGGCTCCCCCTCGCTCAGGCTCCCACTAGAGGCAGCTGCGGAGAAATGCAGCCCAGCAGTAGAAATGCTGTGCAGGGCCCATCATGAGACCAGGGCCAAGAGCAGGTCTCCGGGCAGGAGCACCCACAGCCCCACTGTCAAAGCCAGAGCCCCCTGGACCGGGGGGGGGGGTCCTCTGAGGCCCAGGCCTCCAAGCATCACCGTCAGGGAGCCAGCAAAGGAAGGAAGCCCAGCTCAGGTGAGTCTGTACCTGCCCTTGGGGTCTGGAGTGGAGCAGGGAAGGGAAGCCAGCACAGGAAGGCAATGGCAGGGGCCAACTGGAGCAGTCTGTCTGGAGGGAGCCCCAGCGCATGGGCCGTCCCCCCCCCCCAGCCAAGGAGGGCCAAGGCAGGCTGCTCTCACTTAGCAAGCTGGAGAGCTAAATTGGAGGCCCAGGATTTGTTTCTTTGCTTGTCTTGTCCATTTAAAAGCATTTATAAATCACTTGATGTTTCAAAATATCTAAGCGGTCTGCAATTTTTTTAAATAAAAAAAACTAAGCAGTATCGTTAAATCAAAAATACAGCCTGAACTCTATAAAGCATAGAAGATCTTAGAAAGACAAACGAGATAGGGATTTGAGGTGTTTGGAGCCATAAACAAGGGTCTCGCTTTGTGGGTCAGGCAAAGAGGTCAGTCTTCAGCCGGCTGAGGGAGGTCTGCATCTTCTTTTATGCTCTAAGCTCTGGCCTTCCAGCCAAGGGGGTCCTGGCTGGGAATGTTCTGCCCTTTGGGGGCTCCCAAGGGAGGAGGAGGAGGAGGAGGAGGGGGGATATCCTCCAAGCTGCTTCCCTCTGGAAGCTGCACCTTCCGCTGCAGAGGCGGCCCTGGAAAAGGCCCTGGAAGACTTGTGGTCATCGCTGGGCTGAATCCATGGAGCAGGACCTCCCCTCTTGCAAGGAACAAGTTCAGGGGGCAGGAGGCTGGGTGGTGGTGGGTTGCCTCTGAGGAAAGGATCCTGACTCCCCCCACCCCTCTGCCTTTCAGAGAAGCACCTCCCACTGCGGATCACGTACGGCCACTATGGGGCATCCCTGACGGACGACAAGAAGCTCTTGGTCACGGCCTTATGTGACGTTGTGGACGGCGTGAAGCTGCTGGTGGAGAAGGCCATCACCCTGGAGACCCAGAACGTCTCCATCACGGTAAGGAGCCCCTCTGCACTCAAGGGCTGCAGCCAAGAAGGAATGCCCCACTCCCTGCTGGTCCCCGTCCTGGAACCGCAGCCCCCCACCCACAAGTGATTTTATTTTATTTTATTATTATTTTTACTTTTTTATTTTCAGTGTAGAATCATAACAAAAATTACAGACATTAAGTCCAAAATAGTACTATACAAACAAAAAAGAACGAAACATACAAAAAAGAGAAAGAAAAAAAGCAAAGGAAACAAAACAAAAACGAAAAAGCATACATCTACAGGGGAAAAAAACATATCTCATTACATACATATACACATATTGACTTCCTTCCTTTGTTCTAAGACCTCAAAAAAATTACTCTTACTGTATTGTTGTGTCTAATGTAGATTACTTCCATCTTTGTATTTTTTTTTTTACACCATTTTTCTTTTTTACACCCACAAGTGATTTTATTTTTATTTTTTAAATAATAATAATAATAATAATAAACTTTAATAAATATCTTATAATAATAATAATAATAATAATAATAATAATAATAATAATAATAATTTTAATCACTGCTGCTGCTGCTGAGGCTAACTTGATGGTGGGAAGATTGAGGACAGATGAAATAAAGTCCTCCTTCATGTAGTGCAGAGTTAAACTGTGGAACTCCCTCCCACTTGAGGCAGGGATGGCTTTGGAAGAGGATGGGACAAATTATTGGAGGATGAGGGGGCAACTGAGGGCTACCAGTCAAGATGGCTCTGCCCGTCCTCCTCAGTTTGGAAGCAATGCTTCCGAATCCCAGGTGCTGGAGACTGCGGGGGGGGGGGGAGAGGGGCTCCTGCGCCCGGGTCCTGCTTGCAGGGCTCCCAGTAGAGGCATCTGGTTGGCTCCTGTGAGAAGAGGATGCTGGAATGGATGGGCCACTGACCTGATCCAGTTCTTCTGATGTTCATATGGCAATGAAGATGCAAGTCCAAGTTGAGAGGCTTCTTCTAGCCTCAAGACCCCAAATAAGAGGGGCTGAGTTTGGAGCCACATCAGCACAGACCCTGTCCTTGGGCAATGGGAGGGGCAGCCAGTCCCCTGTCTCCCCTCATCTGGCCCCAAGTCCATACTGCAGTACCTGCAAACCCTGCCTCACCTCCCCATCCTGGTTCAGCCCTGTTGCATCATGGGATGCCATCCCAGAATGCAACCGCTCATAAGGGAGCTTGGGGAGGAGTGGTGAGCCCCAAAGGGTTCATGATGCAGCCTGACTATCCCAAGGCAGCTGCCTCCCAGTTGGCATTCAGGGCCAAGCAGGATGCAACCTTGCGGGGCTGTTGGGTTCCCCCTGCAGCTGGATCATGGGGGGGGGGGGAGAGCTCAACCCTTTGCTCCTGCTGAGATCCTGATCCAATTTGGAATGTGGCTGTGAGTATTATGTTTGCAACGATTCCAAGGCCTAAATAGGTACAACGTTTGACCGTATTTGAAAGAAGGGGGGCTCTGGAGAGGTGTGGCTGTGCCTGAGGAGGGGGTCCTGGCTCAGCAAGCCCCCTGGGTCTGTGGCTCTGCTCGGAATGAGGGAGCCCTGCACCTGCCAGGATAGGTGCTGGTGCAGAGTGCGTTCCCAGAGACTGAGCAGCTCCTCTCCTTGGCTGCAGGCCCCTCCAAGCGTGGTAGCCAACAAACCGGCCACCGTGGAGATCTTCTACGCCAACCCTCTCCCAGAGCCAGTGGACAACTGTGTGCTGCTGGTGACACTGATGGGCCAAGCTGTCAAGATCAAGTAAGTTTGGTGGGGGGAGAAGCAACCAGCAAGTGGGAGGAGCTTGGCTGGCCCACTCTCCTGCCTGGCAAGGGGAAGGCGAGGAGACGTCCCACCCAAGCGACTCCTCTGAGAAGCCAAGCCAGCTGCAGGTGGAGCCACTTCAGCCGTGGCCCCGTGGAGGACGTAACCCCTGCAGGCCTCTGGCTGGTCACTCCAGGGCTGCATCCTTGCATGTGTGTGTGACTCTCTCTCTCTCCCTTCAGTGTGGCAGCGCTGGCACCTGGAGAGAAGTCCAAGATCTTCTTCGAGTTCACCCCACGCAGCGCAGGGGCTATGCAGCTCCACGTCGACTTCTCCTGCAACAAGTTCCAGCACATCAAGGGCTTTGTGCTCATGAACGTGGCCCCGGCCGGGTCCATGTGATCCGGGGCAAGGGGCTGCGGTGGTGAAAGGGGGTGTGTGTGACTGTCCTGTTCCTGCACGATGATTAAAAGCTTTTTCCCCAGGCAGAAAAGTGGCAGCATTTCTTCTAGGGGGTTGTGGATGGCTAATGCACATCTCATGGGTGGGGTGAGGAACGTCTCCTGCTCCTTCAGTCATCAAATTATAGATTTGGAAGGGGTCTCAAGGGTCATCCAGTCCAGCCCCCCGCAATGCCAGAATCTCCACTACAGCATCCCTGACAGATGGCCAGCCAACCTCTGCTTAACAGCCTCCAAGGCAGGAGAGGCCACCACCTTCCCAGGGCTCTTGCCCTCTTCCTGATGTTGAACTGGAGTCTCCTTTCTTGCCATTTGTATCCCTTGGTTCTGGTCCTCCCCTCTGGAGCAGCAGGAAACAAGCTTGCTCCATCCTCCACATGACAGCTCTTCCGTCTTCTTTGGGCAGACTGGTATGCTCTGATGTGCTCAGAAACTGGGTCCAATTGCACCACTTGGGCCTCTCCAAGGCACAGAACCACCTCCTAGCAAATGGTCAGCTAAGAAGGCGCGCTCGGTGCATCTTGCAAAATCTGCTTGGTCACGGGGAGGAGGGGCAGGGGGTATTCACACGTGATCTCTTCCAGGGCTGGGGTGCTCTTCTTCCTGGCTGAATTGCAGCAGCTTTTGCCAAAGGGCAGGTCACACTAGCCGGGCCCTGGAAGCAGATGAAGAACCTCCAGGAGCCCCACTGGAGGGGCCTCCCTCTGGCTTCCGCTGCCCAGGCCTCAGGAGTGAACCCAGCCCCTTTGTTCCCAGGATGGTCTCCCCAGAGGCCAGACAGGCTCCTCGGTCTTGCCTCGCTCCAGCAGCCATCCAACTCCCTCCCTCTCAGGGCCCTTGCTGGGACCACAGTATTGCCACCCCACCCCACCCCGATTCAGCTTGCCTCAACCTTTCCCCCCAGGGCTGCCTGGGCCCAGCTCTACCACCTGAAGAAGCCACCAACCCTCTCTCCCCCCTCCAGCCCTAGCTGGCTCTGCCCACAGGCTCGCCCCCACCCTGCCCCAGACCGCTACTCAGAGCTTCCTTCATGACGGTTGGGCCTGCCCTCCTCCCCTCCCCTCCACCTCATAATGAACATGTCTGAATATAATAACAATAATTAACCATAATAGATGTGGAAATGTGGTGACCCAGCTGACTGGTTCAACTGGATTTCAGCGGTTTTGAATCAGGGGGTTGTTGAAGTGCTGCCTTTAAACTATGTCAGCCAGGACTGAGTGGGGGCACCTGGCTCTCGCCTTCATCCAGCAGCTGGCTCTACTTAGGAGGAGGGAGAGGAAGAAAAGGCTGGGTCAGAGCCATTCGCTCCCTCAGTCCCAGCTCAGGGAAGAGGGACTTCATGGATACGAAGTGGAAGGTTGAGGATGACAATGAGCGTTGGACTAGATGATCCTTGGTGTCTCGTCCGGCTCTAGAATTCTTTTTATTTGAAAAGATATTTATTAAGATTTTCAAAATATTACAAAAGAAAAAAAAGAAAAAAGAAAAATACAAAATAAAAATAGTTAAAAACAATTCAGTCTTTCAATCACTTATCTTTCATTTGCTTATTTCCCGGACCTCCTCACGCCTCCCTTTTCTGTATTCCAATTCAGTTTGTTAGTTCAGCAAATCCCTCCCCTCTTTGTTTATCCTAATCTTGAATCTTAAAGTGTTGTAACATTAGATTTTTACCTATTAATAGTCCATTTTTTCATATTCCCTTATAACATTACAGTTAGAAACCACTTAGTTTCTATCCAACATCTTTCTAACATTCATTAATTTTACAATATTTCTGTAAATAGTCTTTAAACTTTTTCCAATCTTCTTCCACCGACTCTTCTCCCTGGTCTCGGATTCTGCCAGTCATTTCTGCCAGTTCCATATAGTCCATCACCTTCATCTGCCATTCTTCCAGAGTGGGTAAATCTTGTGTCTTCCAATACTTTGCAATAAGTATTCTTGCTGCTGTTGTGGCATACATAAAGAAAGTCCTATCCTTCTTTGGCACCAATTGGCCGACTATGCCCAACAGGAAGGCCTCTGGTTTCTTTAGAAAGGTATATTTAAATACCTTTTTCATTTCATTATAGATCATCTCCCAGAAAGCCTTAATCTTTGGGCACGTCCACCAAAGGTGAAAGAATGTACCTTCATTTTCCTTACATTTCCAACATTTATTATCGGGCAAATGATAGATTTTTGCAAGCTTGACTGGTGTCATGTACCACCTGTATATCATTTTCATAATATTCTCTCTTAGGGCATTACATGCCGTAAACTTCATACCTGTGGTCCATAACTGTTCCCAGTCAGCCATCATTATGTTATGTCCAACGTCTTGTGCCCATTTAATCATAGCAGATTTCACCGTTTCATCCTGAGTATTCCATTTCAACAGCAAGTTATTTTTTTTTTTAATAATTTTTTATTAAAGTTTTAAACAAACAAAAAAAAGAAAAACAACACACACAAAAAACAATACAAAACTTAACAATAAAAACACAAAACATAGCAATTAAAAACAAACTCTCTTTTCCATTTCCAGTTTTGAATTACTTATTTTCTGGACTTCCTCATACCTCCCTCTTTTGTATTCCAATCTACATTATTTGTCCAGCAGTTTCTTTTCCACTTTTTTAATCCCAATCTTTAATTTAATAAAACATTAAGATATATAACTTCAACTTTTTTAAACCTAATCCTTGATCTTAATGTCATATAACTTTAAATTTTTCCCTTTTATTATCAAATTTCCATTTCTTTAAACATCTTTAATCTTGATCTTTAATCTTAATCTATAACTTTAACCTGTACAGCTGGAAACCACTTATTTTCAGTCCAACATCACTCTAACATTCCTTAATTTTACAGTGTTTCTGAAGATAGTCTTTGAATTTCTTCCAGTCTTCCTCCATCGACTCTTCTCCCTGGTCACGGATTCTACCAGTCATTTCCGCCAATTCCATATAGTCCATAAGTTTCATCTGCCATTCCTCCAGCGTGGGAAGTTCTTGTGTCTTCCAATACTTTGCGATGAGTATTCTTGCTGCTGTTGTTGCATACATAAAGAAAGTTCTATCCTTTTTTACCACCATTTGGCCGACTATGCCCAGGAGGAAGGCCTCTGGTTTCTTAGGGAAGGTATACCTAAATACCTTTTTTAATTCATTATATATCATTTCCCAGAAAGCCTTAATCTTTGGGCACATCCACCAAAGGTGAAAAAATGTACCTTCAGTTTCTTTACATTTCCAACATTTATTATCAGGCAAATGATAGATTTTCGCAAGCTTGACTGGGGTTATGTACCACCTGTATATCATTTTCATAATATTCTCTCTTAAGGCATTACATGCCGTAAATTTCATACCTGTGGTCCATAACTGTTCCCAGTCAGCAAACATAATGTTATGTCCAACGTCCTGTGCCCATTTAATCATAGCCGATTTTACCGTTTCATCTTGAGTATTCCATTTCAGCAGCAAGTTATACATTCTTGACAAGTTCTTAGTATTGGGTTCTAACAATTCTGTTTCTAATTTGGATCTTTCCACCTGGAAGCCAATTTTCCTGTCCAATTTAAATACCTCCATTATTTGATAATAATGAAGCCAGTCTCACACTTTGTTTTTAGTTTTTCAAAACTCTGCAATTTCAGTCTATCTCCGTCTTGTTCCAAAATTTCCCAATATTTCGGCCATTTGACCTCCATATTGACCTTTTTCAAGGCTTTCGCTTCCATTGGTGACAGCCACCTTGGGGTTTTGTTTTCTAACAAATCCTTATATCTTAACCAAACATTAAACAGCGCTTTCCTGACAATTTCAACAGCAAGTTATACATCTTTGACAAAATCTTAGTTTTGGGTTCTAACAGTTCTGTTTCTAATTTTGATTTTTCCACCTGGAAGCCAATTTTCTTGTCCAAATTGTATGCCTCCATTATCTGATAATAATGAAGCCAGTCTCGCACTTTATCTTTTAATTTCTCAAAACTCTGCAATTTCAATTTGTCTCCTTCTTGTTCCAAAATTTCCCAATATTTCGGCCATTTGGCCTCCATATTGAGCTTTTTCTGAGCCTTTGCTTCCATCGGTGACAACCACCTTGGGCTTTTATTTTCAAGTAAGTCCTTATATCTTATCCAGACATTTAACAATGCTTTCCTAACAATATGGTTTTTAAATGCTTTATGTGCTTTAACCTTGTCATACCACAAATATGCATGCCACCCAGAAACATTATTGAAACCTTCTAAATCCAAAATGTCTGTGTTCTCAAGAAGCAGCCATTCTTTCAACCAGCAGAATGCTGCTGATTCATAATAAAGTTTAAGGTCTGGCAGGGCAAATCCACCTCTATCCTTTGCATCAGTTAATATTTTAAATTTTATTCTGGGTTTCTTGCCCTGCCAGACAAATCTAGAAATGTCTCTCTGCCACTTCTTGAAACAGTCCACTTTGTCTAAGATTTGCAATGATTGAAACAAAAATAACATTCTTGGCAATACATTCATCTTTATAACAGCAATTTGACCTAACAAGGACAGCTTCAAGTTTGACCATATCGCTAGGTCCTTTTTCACTTCTGACCAACATTTCTCATAATTGTCTTTAAATAGGTTTAAGTTCTTAGCAGTCATATTAACCCCCAGGTATTTTACTTTCTTAACCAATGTTAAACCTGTCTCCTTCTGAAACCTCTCTTTCTCAATCGGTGTTAAATTTTTCTCAAGCACCTTAGTTTTTAACTTGTTCAACTTAAATCCTGCCACATGACCAAATTCCTGAATCAATTCTAATACTCTTTTAGTACTAGATTCTGGCTCCTGTAACGTCAATACTAAATCATCTGCAAAAGCTTTCAGTTTGTACTGTTTGGCTCCGACCTGTATACCTTTGATCAGACTGTCCCTTCTGATCATATTTAGCAGAACCTCCAGGACCAAAATAAA